TCAGTTAATAAATGTTCAATGCAATTCACTTCGCGCATATTTTACAATGGAATGAAATTAATTCGCCCGAATTAATGTAGCCGCGCAATTATGAGCTAAAGTTTAATATCCAATATTTCGGCCTCAAGCATAATCTGGCTGTGTCAGCGACTTCACCTGCGTAGAATAGTTTCTTTCCGTTTTTTCTACATTTCTCCACATTCCTATTAATCACAGCGTTTATAGCCTATAGCCAGCGCAATGTATTATGGCTTATAGCCTTCCTCGAGAAATGCTCTAACCAAGGCAAAACATAATATTTTTTCAATTCGAACCAGTAGTTCCTGAGATTAGCGCGTTCAAACAAACAAACGAACTCATTAGCTTTATAAGTTAGTATAGATTGTTAACGCAAGTAGTATACATTTAAATAACCCTCTTCAACATTTAAACCGTTAAAAGAAGTAGTATTTCAAATAAAGAATTAAATTAATTTTTAAATTCTCTATTATGATTCAATATTATGTATACGCAGATAGAGTCCCTAGGCCCCATAGTGGGGTAAAAGTGTTATTGGTCCTCTTCCAAGGTTTGTACAATTAAGATCTTTTAAGACTTAATTAATATCTTACGTTTACAAAACATTACTGTCTATTATTATACTGATATATTGTGTGTGTTAGTGTTTGAATGTAGTAAGTGGAATGTCATATACTCGTATAAGTGTGCTAGGTGGATAAGGTATGTCTTACTTTATGCTAACAAAATAAATAAATTACAATCGTTTTTGAAGTTTAAAGGTAATAAATAATGTAGCATTTAACAAATTATATGTTTTTTCATTATTTTCGTATCTTGTATCTTGACATTCTCGACAAACTGTGTTCTTCCAATTTTTGAAGTTTAGAGGTAGTAAATAAAATGTAGTCATTCAAATTATATTTATTCTGAATATGGACACCGCTCGAAAACCATCGCTAACAGATGGTAAACTTGTAAAGGAGTAAAACTACGTTTGTGTTTCAGTCTGTTGTCAATAGGACGACTGCACATCTTGTCAAAAAAGTATATGGCTTGTCTGTCTTATTGTCACTAAAAAAGAATTGTTCAATATTGTATTTCACGTGTATTTGAAATAGTAAAAATTCGGTTATACGAAATTACATGTTTGCTAGTACACAAGGCTGTAATCAACTGACTCGAGTTGGTAATTACTGTACGATTCAAGACGCACGCTTCATTAGCATTCGTCAAACAAAATGAGATCATGTTACGCCTAAGTTATATTTGATATTTAATATTTGACTGATCCAAAATAATCACTTGTGACAGAGGAGAAAGGCAAGCATGGGGTCCATTTGATGGTAGGTGAAATATCCCCCCCCATTTTATGTCTTAATTCAGTGTTGAAGGAATTTCGATACTAACCAATCATTTAATATGATGGACCCGTTGGGAATTTAACGCACAACCGACGTGGATGTGCTACCATTGGACTAACAAGAATATCAATAATATAATTTGTATGTCGGGTCTGCATATTAAAATTATAAATATCTGTAATAATTATAGGCTAGTTCTGTAAACCTTTAAAACATAAATTATATAAAGAAAACTTCATTTTTACACAAATAATACGAGTAAGAAAAGGCAACGTATTTTATCAGGTATTTTATCTACTTGGAACGAGACAATGAAGTCACATTAACATCGTTAGCCGCGTCGTGAACCAGATCGCTGTCCTCGCGTGTGAATACAAATATTATCATAAAAGAAATTGGATGAAAAAACCAAAGATATGACCGACGCACTAATTAAAAATTAATAAACGCAACTTGCCGTTAAAATCAAATTATGAACGCGCTCGGATACGTCATGCATTGCCTACGAACACTATAACTTGATATGTCGCAGATCGAACAATCGACTCTATTGCAATGCGTTAGAGTCCAAATTCTAGTTAAACTGAGATCGCGATAAAGTTGCAGCGTTCAGGTAAAGGAACGTCACTGAAACATGCATATCGCTATAGAACGGTATTGCGCGCGCAACTCTTGACACATTCGCACAATTTCCCACGTTTTTTCATAAATTTAAATTCGAATTTCGAACCTAGTGTTGTGATTAGTACTGGTTAGTGACCGTTTGAGTGCCAAAAGGGATGTTAAGGATTTTGTTTTTATGGTAAGTACTAAATATTATTTATATTAATTTATATACATTTCCGTGCTAAGTCGTAGCGCCATTTTCAAGGATATTTAGAAGTAACACAAGGTAATATAATTGGCCATTTGTCGTGCTTGTTGAGTTTAAGTGCCATCTGCTACCGGGCTCGGATTACAAAACATTGTTTTCGCGGATTACCGACATTTCAATGTCTCGGAAATCTGACTATGTGTTGTACGGGGTTCATATTTTTAATAAGAAATGTCTTGAGAATGTTATGAATTCGCTAACTACCCGCAATGTATGTAGGTACCTAAACATATTTCATGTTATAATAAAGCTGTAAGCAAATTCAATAAATACATTGCAATTATTACATCAGAAATAGTTTCGTAGTTTCATCTACTAATATGACAATTCTTGATGAATTGCGTGCCAAAGACACAAAATTTCTTAAAACAATCCGCTATAGACAGTATAGACAGTATTTAACAATCCGCTAATTACGCCCATACCTTAGCTTGAAAAAACTTATCGCAAAAGAAATTTAACGAAACTAATAATAACATTTTAAAATTCTTTCTGAATACCATGGCTTATTTAAAATGATAATTAAATAGGTTCTTAGTTAATTAATGACGAAATGACTATTATCACGATAATATAAATTTGTATTTACAACGCAGAAAACTTACATTTAAGATATGCATATTATTGTCATCCTATATACCTAGTCATTAGAAAAATATTATGGGCAACATATTTCATTGCTATAAAATCGATTTGTATCATTCCATTTCACGCTATTAATATGTAGGTAACAGAAAAACAATTGACTGAGGACTTTGTATTTCATATAAAAACTTTACTAGGTATAATATCTATAAACCTTATAAAAACAAAGTATATCTCTTTAATTACAATTAATTTAAATATTGAATGACAATGGGGGTATTTATTTCGAGTCATATACAATACTAGCTGTACCAGCGACATCGTCCGCGTAGAATAGTTATTTTTGGACATCTAAATTTGTTTAAATAAAACACTTTAACGGTTTAAAACGCGTTATATTAGTTATTATGTGAAAATGATTTTTAACTAAGTTTAACTAACATATCGCGTTTTAAACCGTTAAAGTGTTTTATCTAAATGTGTACTACTCGCGTAAACTATAGACAGTATTTAAATTTGTTTTTATATTTAAACTCGTCGTTCTTGCAAGGTAATCTTAAAAGATAGACATATAGTGCAGCGAACGGTTATTTAGGACGTTTAAACAGGAATCATTCTTCTATACACAATTTTGGGTACCCTTTGGGTATAGGTTGCGTGGTTCGTACACCAACAAAAAAAATTTTCCAGTTTTTCCACATTTTTCCGTTTCTTCGCTTGATTAATAGAATCAAAGCGCGATGTTTTACAGTGGTTCCTGAGATTAGCGCGTTCAAAATCTTCAGCTTTATATATTAGTATAGATTTACAAAAAAACAGTTTTACTAGGAAGAAGATATTGGACACAAATTGATTTTAATGATATTCCTTAAATTTGGGAAACTATGAGGTAATCATAGCTAATGTAGCGAACAGTTACGCTAATTAAAAATGAATCACGCTTATCTTTGTTTTAATGTAAACAGACATTATTAACATTTAGGCAAGTACATGTTTCTGATAACGAAATACTTCTCACATTATCAAAGTTTAACATGCTTTTTATCTGTTAAAAACTATGTTTGAAGTTCAAAGACGTAATGAAGTAATCAATTATTTTTATATACTTAGTGTCCCAGAACGTACATTTTTGGCACATATTGAATAAAAAACGTAGTACACAGATACATACATAAAAGAAAACCAAATATCTTAGATATGTATCTAATTTATGAAGACAAAATTTAAAACCTGAAAAATATAACTTGCTGCAGAAAGAACGAAGCGGTCACTAATAATAAATAGTATTTCAAAGATGTAGCTATTTTCGGACGAGTCTAAAATCGCTAACTAAATTTTACCTGCAGAATAATAATTATAGTTATCAATATGTGCAAGTAAGCCAAGTTTTATCGCTGCCCGCATATGAACAATTCGCCAAGGAGCAGGTGTACGATAATTATATAAACATACTTGTATATCTGTACCTTCGGTTATAATATTTTATTTAAATATTCGTTGTGCATGTGACTCTTGAGATTTTCTTTTGTTTTCTTATTAATCGACTCGGTACAATAATAAATCTGATGGCATTATATAAAAAAAAATTGACCCTGTAGAGATCGAACCCACGGCCCGTTGATAGCCATACATTGCTATACAGCAACGAGCCCGTCAATTAGTATTATCTATTTCATAGAAGAGTTGTTCGACCTTAGACCCACCACGCTATTCAGAGCGGATCTGCGGCATTTATTGACGAACAAATTACTGATAATACCTGGGACTGGTTGCTTACTTGCTCCCCAAGACACAGTTTGATAACACATACTTCCATACTCCAGTCTGAAAAAAGTTCAAATACCGAAAAAAGATTTCGCTGGCTCGAGTGTACGCGATAAATATTAAAGACTTAAACTCGTAACACTGTCTGTAGTTTACGCGAATAGAATACATTTATTTAAACACTTTAACGGTTTAAAACGCGATACATATTAGTTAAACTTTTTTAGAAATTATTTTAACTACCCATAACCACCGCTGCTGCAAAGCATCCGAAACGTCGGGCCGTAGTTAAAATTATTTCCAAATAAGTGTAACTAATATATTTTGGGTTTTAAACCGTTAAAGTGCTTTACTTAAACTTAAGTAAATCTTTAAACCTATTATTTACTTAATACGAGTTTTATTTCGTTTCAGAAATGAAGATGTCGCTTACACACAGTCGACAACAATTTCTTGCGTATGAAACACATGGAGATCCAGCTATCCACTATGGGCGGAAAGGTGGATTCTTCATTTCGACCTGCATCTGCGTTTGCTTCGTTATATGTGCTGTATTCGCGGCTGCTTTAGTTGGAATTATTGTTTATCACATCACTTACTTTACGGTAATTTATTATACCTGTTACGTATACTGTGTGTAAAGTTTCCTTCTTAAGCAGGGACGCTCCGGACCGACCGTCTACCCGAGTTTGAATCTGTCAGCTCCAGATGACCTTGGTCGTGGTACCGTAGAAGCTGTAGAATAATTGATCCATGAAACTGACGTAGGAATGTGTCTGCCCTGGGTTATAACCCACCCACGAAAAGGAGACGGAATTATATTTTTTTTATAATAATGTTTAAAACTCTAATTCATTATACACTCATATAGAATCTGAAATCTCTTATAACTACCTATTTATCACATTCCAATAAATTATCAATTATTATCTTAATTTGTAACAAGAGAATAATGACCTCGCGAATTAAGTTTGCTTTCTGTGTTATACTTTTGATTGTGTATCTAAAATTTAACATTTGTAACTGAGATAAGTATAAATTTATCAATGAAATAATTTTATCAAATATTTATTACGCCGTAATAACTACCGTTTTCTGGTGGTCTTTTGACCTAAAGATATAATGGGTGAAATCATATTTTTATAATACGAAAACATTACTTGCCGTTAACTTTTGTATTGGGTGTCCTGTGTTACCAATACAAAATTCTTAGCCTATATTTTATCATTATTAACAGCTAGGTCTCATGACAAATTTTACCTTTATTTCCTGATGTGTTAATTTTCATTCATCATACTTTTCTTTAAAGTTTTAAAAATTTATTTTATTTTATACTATCACAGCAAAAATGTTGCTTATTAAATAGTATTTTAAAATTATGAAGTTTTTACGATGACAGTTGGCAACACATAATGTCAATGTCATCTTGAAATTAGGAATTTAACTTCTTAATTCAAACCATTTAAGAATTTAAACCAGTAGCTTATAAGAGGCGTTATCTAGTGTTTATAAATTAATTTTATTTTAAATGATATTTATACTTGTAGCCCCGGAAACCTTATTTAGATGACAGAAATGATACCAAAATTTTATTTTCTAGTGAAAGATCCTTCATATAATATACAATAATTAATACATTTGACAAGAAATAAAGTGACCTGTGATCATGTTTGTAAAAATTATTTACTTATATTTATTTTTGAATTTAGCAGTAAAGTGTGAAGATGAAATCGTAAGTACATATCTTCTGCTTTATCTAATAATAATATAAGTAAGTTCAATGAGGTAAATTTTGTGTTCTACTTTACCAGGAAATTACATACTTACCTACCCTAAATTACTTCGTAAATTTCCTCATTTGTAATTTCGGAGTTTTTATAATTTCGTAAGACAATTTTAAATTTAGACTCCAAGTAAATAATTAGATTATTCGAAATTAGATAATTCGGAATTTTATCTTTTGTATTTGTAATAATATAATATCGCATTTATTTAAAGAATGTAAAATGAAACTTGGCGATAAAAGGAGTGACGGCGAGTTTATTGCCAGTTCTTCCAGTTCGTTCTACGCCCTTGATTTAAGAACTGGTAGTAAATGGAAAGTTAGATACTTTAATTTTATGGCGTTCCTAAGTGTACATAGTCATGTAGGTACATGAATAAATGATTTTTGACTTTAACTTTGAATTTGATGCAAACCCAAATAATAACACTAATCTTAAATGTTCCTAAAAAATATCTTATTCTAGATGCTGCTATATCTTAAACAATTCGTAAATATATGTCCTGTTTATAGTATTAAAGGCTAGTTTGATAAATGCAAAAAATATTCAAAGTTTAATTATATGTTTTATGCTACAGTTAGGACAGCAACCAAAAGACTTATGGGATGAGAGTGAACCGTTTGGCCAAAGCAGCTCACCAGCACCAGATTTACGTCTACCCACTACTGTTATCCCTAGCTTTTACAGACTCAAGATAAAAGCTGACTTAGATAAGTCCCAGTTCTCTGGAGATGCATACATAACAATAAAAGCAAACAAGAGGGTAAAAGAAATAATACTACACTCAAAAGGACTAGTCATTAAAAATGCCACACTTGGAGAACAAATATATGAAGAAGTAGATATTATGCGGTCAAGAATAAAACGAAACACAACTGACACCTCAACAGAAAATGTAACAACAGATGGAGCTACAACTGAAAATGCAATAGAGAAAGCTAATGGCTTAGACACATCAACAAACAGTTCTGATCCAGACCCTGTTACAATATCATCTGTGGCAAGTGTCAACACTCAAGTAACTCATAGTAATGTACGAAATATAGAAATTATATCATTTCAATCAAGCTCTGGTGATAGATTGACTTTAAAGCTAGGCAGTATGCTGACACCCAACATAGATTATACTCTGCAACTATCCTTTGAAGGCAGAATAAGTGATTCACTGACTGGATTCTACAAAAGCAGCTATAGGAATTCTGATAATGAAGATAGGTAAGGTTCTAATAAGAAATTATATTTAATTGTAATTGTATTGTAACTGTAGAGTTACATAGTAAAATGCCCTATTATTACTGTTCTATGAAAAGTAGTAATTAAAAATATAGAAAACCTAGTTATACTGTATAATATATACAAAAATGAACCTTAATGTTAATGCTACACCTTTGATTTTGTTATGTAATTGAAATTCATTTTCCAGAGAATTGGGTGTAACTCAATTTGAGCCAACATCAGCTAGGGCGGCCTTCCCTTGTTTTGATGAGCCTGCTTTTAAAGCCAAATTTGAGATCAGTATAGCACATCCTAAGAATATATCAGTTCTGTCCAATATGAAGGTGGCTACACAGGAATCTGTGTAAGTATTAATTTTATATGCCATACATGTTCATTCACTCATGCATGAAAAGCTAAGTATAAGGTACTTAATAGACACTAAAATGTTCTATAGAACAACTATCAAACTTCTATTTAATAGAGAGAGAAGATAAAAGTTTGACTTTGATCTCCTGCTGGACCATTGAGCAGACACATTTTGGTGGATGTTTCACTAACCAAATCTATTTATAAGCAAGACCATACTCCATCGAAATAATTATATTTCCATTGGATTTGATCCCAAGACCTCTTGTGTTTAATTCAAAGATATGCAATGTAATTCAAAATTGTTACAATATTATTTCAGAAAAGATCAACCAAACTGGCAGTGGACACATTTCGAAAGATCAATAAATATGTCTACATACTTAGTTGCTTATGTGCTGTGTGACTTTAAATACGTAGAAACGAATTACACAGGCAAGGATAATAAAATTAAGGCAATACGGGTGTGGACACAACCTTCACTGATACATAAGGCCAATTATGCTTTGTCAATAACACCTAAATTGTTAGCGTTCTACGAAGAAGTGTTTGGCGTGCCATATGCTTTAGATAAGCTGGATTTGATCGCGATACCAGATTTTTCCAGTGGTGCTATGGAAAATTGGGGCCTACTTACTTTCAGGTAAGCCCCATATTACTAACTTTAGAAATTATGAGAAAAACTTTAGTTAACCTGTTATATCTTTTTTCAGAGAAACTAGCCTATTATTTGATGAGAAAGAAGGCATGCCTGGTGAAAAACGTGGTGTTGCCATAGACGTGTCGCACGAACTCGCTCACCAGTGGTTCGGAAACCTCGTCACTATGCGCTGGTGGACTGATCTCTGGCTAAACGAAGGATTTGCCACATATATTGAATATGTGGGCGTTAATCATGTAAGTGCTGTTACAGGAAAATTTTTCTTTTCTTGGGGATATCACACTTTCGTAAAGCAATTTGCTCGTACGCTGCTGATACATTGTCGATCATCATTAATAGAACTGATTACTTAACGATTTTTTGTGATTTTCTTTCTCCTTCATTCAGTTTTAAATACTATACAAAACGACATTGAACAATCTATGTGCCGTATGTTTTAGATTCAACCTGACTGGGAGATGTTCCTATCATTCACTCATGATAAAATGAGCCTCCTTCACACTGATTCACTGAAGAACACGTCTCCAGTATCAAGGAAAGTCATAGATGCTTCGGAAATATCACAGAAATTCGACGATATATCATACGCAAAGGGCGCTAATCTTATACGAATGCTTAACAATACAATATCGGAACGATTGTTTTTGAAAGGCTTGGCTATATATTTGGATACTTGGTAAGTTAATTATTGGACGCTTTTGCGTTTTATTAGTAATTTTAGAAAAAAGTTGTCAAACACCTGGAATCCCATATAAAAAAATATATATAATTCTGGATTCCAAAAACAGCATACCGGCAAACGCGAAGACAATTCTGCAAGGACCCGGCTAGTTTTGACAAATATCAACTACTACGGAACAGATGGCGCTAGCGTAGCAGTTTTTACTTTGACATCAGAAACACCCTCCATTATTAGTCTCCCCATGACCACGGCTGCTTCAAAGCATCCGAAACGTCGAGCCGTAGTTAACTAATATATATCGTGTTAGTCGTTAGTAGGGTTAGTCATTTAAAATTAAATGTGTAGTACTCGTGTAAATTACAGACAGTATTTAATTAGGCACATCTTTCTTATTCAACAATTTTCTAACAGGCAATACCAGAATGCAGAAGAAAATGACCTATGGGAGGCGATGTCTCAAGCGACAACCGATGACGAGTTCCTAAAAGATGTGTCGCTAGTTGAATTCATGAATTCGTGGACACGACAAGCCGGATATCCGGTCGTGCACGTCAAACGAGATTATAAAACCGGGCATGTGCTGTTTGAACAGGTAACTTAATTTTTCAGTTCATTGTTACACTAGCTGTTCCAGTGACTAGAATTTTGGCCATCAAAATTTATTCCAGTCTTGCCCTATTTTAATTGTAAAAGATGGACATGATAGTATTTGTCAATGGAGATATGTTTTTAGATCATTTAATGTGTATGAAAGATTTGTATCTTTCATACACATTTTTTGTGTATCTTGAACCGTTTTCGTAGCGCACACAACGGAATCCCACAGATATTATTAATTTTCCCCGTTTATTTTACAGTACCAACTGTTTCTTCGCGTTTTATAGCCTTGCTCGATAATTGCTTTAACACGAAAATATTTTCTCAATTCGAACCAGTAGCTCTTGATACAAGCGCGTTCAAACAAACTCTTCAGCTTTAAAAATTTTATATAGATAGAATAGAATAAAAAAAAATGGAACAATGACATGAGATTATTAAAATCCGTCACTTGCAGCGTCTCTTTACTAGTGCAAAGAATCCTTACAAATCTATGGAGAAGCAATTATGGCAGATTCCTATCAGCTATACGACTTCTGGGACCCCGAGTGGCGAATGGACCCCCCATCCTAAATTATGGCTCAAGGGGAAAACTCTTACTGCCGAGATACCACTTAATGATACAGAGGGTTTTTACGTCAACGTCGGGGCTATTGGTACGTATGCAACATTAGATATTATTCTGTAAATAGATATAATGATAGGGATTTTAATTACATTAGGTATAAATTTAACTACAATATTTGTAACGGTTAAAAACTTGAAGTATATAAATTACTTAACGTAAGTTACGTTTGATTTAAGTACGACCCGTCTTTTCATATACTTTGTAGCAGCCGTTTATAGGGGAATTTATTTTTAAACGCACTGGTCTTTGAATTAGTAATAGTAAAACGGGCATATATGTGCTTTATTGAGTTAAAAAAATTTGTTTACAGTTTAAGCGATAAACATTTAAGTAAAAGTAAGTTTGACGGCTTAAACTGCGAAATATGTAACACCTATCACCATAAGACAGGTGTCTTATGGTGATAGGTGTTACAAAAGCAAAACGTAGGTATGTTTCGCTTTTGTTTAAACGACTGGTCTTTGAATTAGTAATAGTAAAACGGGCATATATGTGTTTATTGAGTTAAAAAAATTGTTTACAGTTTAAGCGATAAACATTTAAGTAAAAGTAAGTTTGACGGCTTAAACTGCGAAATATGTAACACCTATCACCATAAGACAGGTGTCTTATGGTGATAGGTGTTACAAAAGCAAAACGTAGGTATGTTTCGCTTTTGTAACACGTTTCACATTTTATTTAATCTTTATTGTGAGATTATTGATAACTGATATATTTTGCAAACCTTTTTGTATTATCTTTCTACAGGATATTATAGAGTGAATTACGATCAGAAGAACTGGCAACTCCTTAGCGAAGCCCTAAAAGATGGCAGCATCAAAGACCCCATAGCGAAAGCGCAACTTATAGACGACGCTTTCAACTTGGCTAAAGCAAATCTTTTGAACTACAGTTACGCACTGGGTTTGACTAGCTGTGTCATAAATGGAGAGGATTCGAAAATAATTTGGGACATGCTTCTCGACAACATGGCGTTCTTGAGATACAATTTGAAGACTAAGTCGGGTTACATGTATTTCCAAGTAAGTTTCAGAACTCCAAGCACAGAGAAATGACCGAACCAGAAGGCTTGAACCGTCACGACTACTCCAAATTAGAGTAGTTTGTTAAAGATTGACGTCATTCCGTCAGTTTAAAGTCCAATCTTTATCGTCGTCAATCAATCGTGGGTCGAAATTAACAATTTATAGTTATAATGATAAATCTCTTCATTTGGCTTTCCTATATATTTAGGACAATGTTAGAAAGAATAAGATACAAAAATATCAAATTTAATTTCGTAAATTATTTATTTATAAGGTATAACTAATTTTTATTTTTAAATTGATTTCAGGACTATGTGAGACTTCTGTTAGCCAAACAATTAGAGAAACTAAATTACGGCGTCAAAAAACCCGTCGACGACAACGAAGCCTTGCTCATCGAGAACCTTCTGTTGTGGGAGTGCATGGTGGAGGCTCCTAGATGTCTCAACTGGGCTAAAACTGAATTTCACCAATGGATGAGTCATCCGGAAAATAATACGTAAGTTACGAGTCTATTGGGATTTTCTCATAAATATTCATAATATAAACACTTTTCTCTCTAATGATCTTTAGGAAGAGCTTCAGCAAAGAACTGCTCTCGTCAATGGTTGGCTCAATAACTGATCATTAGTTAAGTAATTGATTATCTAAGTGACATATTAGATTCTTTTATTTACCCAATAATAAAAAAACATTTATTTAAAAGTTGCACACCAAAAATACAAAATATAAACTAAATTTTTTTTAATAGCTACTCGTAAACAAACTATATACTATAATACAAGGCTTAAAAAATTGACAATGGCAACTCTTAAAATATGATTCACTCGGCATAGCGTTACGAACACGCTTGTGTTGCCACACTGATTTTCAGTGGCCTCCGGCGCCACCGCTTTTAGAGTAACAAATATCAGATATGCGTTAAAAACTAAAAGACTTTAATATTTTATCTATCATACAAAATTCAAGACACGTGGAAGCCCAATTCAACATCAAACTAACTATTTGACGAGCTCACTATTACTATACATATCGCTGCTTATAAACAAAAGGGCCATAAGTCAAAATTGATCCAAATCTATTTTAATATAAAAATGTATCTAGAATAAGCCATATTTCAATATTTCCCAAAGACACCAGTCAAAATTGCGCTCTTTGTTCAATTTTATGCTAACGCCATTTTGGCATATCCCCGAATCTGCGGATAAGTTCAGTGCAAAACGGCCATATTTTTAGTTGCGGACTAACGCTCGGCGAGAGCGCACATCACTTTGGTGACAAAGGGCCACATCTCAAAAAGTTACCTGTGGTGTTCATGAGAATTTCCAAAACTAAGAAGCCTAACACACAAGTATTTGATAAAAGGGCATACCCAAAACAAGGGTGACTCAGTACACTCCATGATTGGGAGAAATACTACTGTACGGACAAACGTCCGAACAAAATTACTATATTTTTATAATAATATTATTTTATAGCATAGTAGCATAATTCTCACGTTCAGGTCGTGCTCACATCAATGTTTATATTATAAGCAAATTTACAAGGTTAGCTTATTGAACATCATACTTTCCTGCTTTCTTGTAAATTATATTTAAGCGATATTAATAGGAAATAAATCAGTAGCACTACAGCACTCATTGGGTTTGGTTATTTCGCCTCCCTCTTAACCTTTAAGCTGTTAACTCTACAGCATAGCATTAGCAATTACAAGCACGTATACTTTTCGGAACTGTTCTCCATTACAGTCTCTGGTACCCGAAACTCGGGAGTATACGCTAAACTGTTATACACTACAGTTTTTGGTGCCGAAACCCGGGAACCACAGCAGTTCCCACAGCAAAACATTCCGGGAACCACAGCAGTTCCCACAGCAAATCATTCCGGGAACCACAGCAGTTCCCACAGCGAATCATCCCGGGAACCACAGCAGTTCCCAGAGCGAATCTTCTCAGGAACCACAGCAGTTCCCACAGCAAATCATCCCAGGAACCACAGCAGTTCCCGCAGCGAATCATCCGGGAACCACAGCAGTTCCCACAGCAAATCATCCCAGGAACCACAGCAGTTCCCGCAGCAAATCATCCCGGGAACCACAGCAGTTCCCGCAGCGAATCATCCTAGGAACCACAGCAGTTCCCTCGCGAATCGTCGCAAATAATGTACAGTGCATCCGCGTCGGGTCGCATTAACTAACTCTATTGTGTGTGTTGCGGTATCATCGGGCGCCGAACAGTAAGGACACACCGTCTATAGCTGCAGCCACAATCAAGCAAAATGGAAAAGCTTCTCCCCGTTCCTTCAGGTGCCAGCGCTCCGCTATCAGACAAGGCGGCGAATTATTTAAGTCTACAACGCACCAACTTCAGAGCCTTTACAAGATTGATGAATAATTTAGACATCGATAACATCTCTGAAGAATGGGAACTGGAATACGAGATAGGTAACGTCCAAAACCGGTGGAATACAATCGACTCTCTGCATTTAAAAATTGATCATATACTCCAAGGGTCGAATATATTGTATGAGCAGGAATTTGAACACAATGAAAAATTATACAAGGATACAATCAGGGCTCTCCATCGTCATCTAGCATCCGGTATACACCAACAGCCATCTACGCCGAACATACAAATTCCTGTTTTCACCGAAAAAAGGTATATCGCATTTGAGCCAGTTTCTCAAGAGAAAGAATGCCGATCAGAACATTTGCTCTCCACCTAAAATATTTAACATTGAACCAACATACAGAAGAGAATATCAAACTTTAGCCACTTGTGCTTCAAAGTGTCTATTATGTTATCAAGAGCATTATCTACACTACTGCCCAAAATTTGAAAAATTATCTTCCCAGGACAGAATGAAGACCGTATTGAAATTTAAAGTTTGTAAAAACTGTCTTTACCAACACAGCGAACCTTGTACTTCTCATGAACGCTGCAAGATTTGTCATCGCGACCACCATACACTGCTACATGAGCCATGTACTAGTTAGTGATTCCAAAAGTATCAAGTCTTCATCACCCTCTTCATCAACCATAACGGAATCCGAAGCTATTCAAAACAAGAATAATAACACAGATCTACAATTACCTGAAGAGGAACAGACTTGTGAAGGCTCATACCAAAAAACAGAACCGCGCTTACATGTAGTCACGATTTCTATGAAAACTGAATTTGAGCAAAAACTAGGAATCTCTAAAAAAACAGTTCTTACGCGATCTAACAATTTGAAACGAAAGATGCAAGGTAATGAAGAATTTGCAGAGAACAGCGTAAACTTTAAGCAGAATTATAAGGATTTAGGACATAAGGGACTTTGTAAAATAACTGAAAAACAAATTTCCTATAATCTTCCGCCTCACGATGTCTTGAAAACTGATTCAAAAACAAAGAAACTTCAAACTGTCTTCAATGCATCCGCAAGGACCACATCTGGACGCAGTCTCAATGATCTTATGGAACGCGGTCCTAACCTTCAAAATGCGATCACGGCCGATATTGAAAAAATGATCCGGCAACTGGTTACCAGGAAACGCGATCGTGCTCTGCAGCGTATCGTGTGGCGTCCTTCACCCTCGCATACAATAAAGAAACGTCATCTCACCACTATAGCCTATGGAACCAAGGCAGCTCCTAATCTCGTTATGCAAACTCTAAAGCAACTGGCAATTCACGAAGACTATCGATTTCCCGTGATGAGCTTGCACTACATCTGCTGCCTTTTACACCATCAGCTCGAGAGTGCCCCGTTACACACGGGTGTCTGCAGCCCCTCCGTGGTTGCCGGCGGACCCTGTGCCCCCGGTGAAGCCACTATTACATAGTGAAAGTGCAAGTGATAGTGCATTTTAGAACATAAATATTCTATAATCGGTACAAGTGAACGAAGTGTATTGTCTATCATTTCGATTAGGGACTTACTTTAAGTGCACAAGTTTCACTTAAAATCTATATTTAATTTGTATATCACGTAAACATTAATTTAAAGTTGTTTAGTCTATAAATGTATTTCAGTAGTTAGAAATATTATTTGAAGAAGTAGTAATACTTTTCACACGTTAATCTAGTTTAAGTATAGCTTGAAAATCACTTTTATGTAACTGAAGAAACATTTTAAGCCTTACTTTTTATAATGAACATTGCTAACTTTACAACGACATTCAGTCAGTTACATTTCTTATTTTTAGTTTATTTCCTATTTCGAATGTTAGCTAGCTCTTTTCCTTTTGTTCTGAGGCGGCAGGATGTACGGACAAACGTCCGAACAAAATTACTATATTTTTATAATAATATTATTTTATAGCATAGCTAGCATAATTCTCACGTTCAGCGTCGTGCTCACATCAATGTTTATATTATAAGCAAATTTACAAGGTTAGCTTATTGAACATCATACTTTCCTGCTTTCTTGTAAATTATATTTAAGCGATATTAATAGGAAATAAATCAGTAGACTACAGCACTCATGGGTTTGGTTATTTCGCCTCCCTCTTAACCTTTAAGCTGTTAACTCTACAGCATAGCATTAGCAATTACAAGCACGTATACTTTTCGGAACTGTTCTCCATTACAGTCTCTGGTACCCGAAACTCGGGAGTATACGCTAAACTGTTATAACTACAACTACAAATGCTTTGAAATCTTTGCCAATCTTCAACATTCATTAAAACAGCTAAGAAAAAAGGCGCACCTTATACTGTCAGAGAATTGGCACACGATAGTTTCTTCGACTTAAAACCGTTGGCTGCTGGTAACTACACCGTTACAGAAGATGGAGAAAAAATTGAGATGGGCAGATATAAAAGTTGATTAAGAAAACCGAAACAAGCTCTTTTTTTAAGACTTCTGACGACGACCAGAAGTTTAAGTCAGTGTCTCACTTTGACCAAAAGGCAATCCAACTCTAACAACGTAGTTACCACGACACACAAAAAATTGTATTCTTAAAACCTAAATGTTCCAGATAAAAAAAAAACAGGGTATTCTTATATCAAAGTATTATGAAGCTTTTTATTCTAATCTTTAAACATAGTTAAATTTGTTACAGACAGACTGATTAAGCGTAAAATAGTAAGTAGCAGTTGTTAATTAATAATAACATGAAACCGCCTTTTTTAAAATTGTGCCTGTTGAGGTTTTAGAAGTTTTAATGTTTTGTTTTATCCTATTTTTTATGGTGGTAAAACAACTTCTTTGTAATAAAAGTTGAGTTTTTGATTTGTTTTAAAAATTACATAGTTCAAAAGCAAGGATTTTTATGTTATTCTTTTTAATGTAAGATTATTATCTCCTCAACATATGTATGATGAACATTTTTAATAATACACTTTTATTTTTTCTTACTTCTGGCCTTTTATTGAAAATAAAATTTGAATCGTAACAAATATTTTATATGCAAAAGGGACTTATGTGCTTCTACTCATCTTCGGCTTACAGTTACCACAAAGCAAAATTAAACACGACTTAAAGCATTAAAATACGCATCTAATGACATATAAAACACAAGCATTAAAAGTACGAGTGCTGAAATATTAACAAAAAATAAATAAATAAATTATAATGTACTCTCCTCAAAAACTCTTAATTTTGAGTTGTGGCCCTTTTGTTTATAAGCAGCGATATATACTTTATGTCAAAGCCTTCACAAAACATAATATTTGTTCTAGTATCCCCAGCTACCTCCGTTCGCTAGTGTACAACGTGGCGGTAAAACACGGAGGTCGAGAAGAATTCTTTTTCCTGTGGGAGGTGTTCCAAAACAGCACCGATCCTGCCGTCAAGAACCTCATCATCACCAATTTGCCCAGCACGAGGCAGGAGTCGCTAATCACTTTGTACGTTGTCTTTTAAAAAAAATAGATTAAAATAGCTAATCTTGTAAATAAAACACCTTTATTGATTTAAAATATATAATTTAACTCATTTCTATTTCATCCGTGACAGATGGCTCTGGCTTAGCAGTTTTGACTATGACATTAGAGATAATTAATGGAACGAGAGTACAATTACTGCCAGGGCCAGTTTCTAAAAACAATTAATAATTTTTCCAAAACATGTTAGCAATCGTCTGGAAAGCCTTGATATAAAATGGGTGGTAAAATATTGATGTGTAATGTAGGTAATTCGTAATCCGAAAGGAAAATCACTTCCGGGTCACAAATTACCGTTCACGTATCACGGAAAGCCGTAGTGTGATTGCGTTTCGGTTTTAGTCTGTGTATTTTCGAATTCTTAAAACCGTCTAAAGTCAACACTTCTTTTTTTCACACACTTTAGATATAATTTAACCAGGGTATTTATTCCACCATATCTATAAAAATCTTAATCTTTTACAGCTTACTAGAAAAGAGTTTATCAGAAATACCTAAACAATACGCCGCGACAGTGTGGGGCGCTGACCCACCTGAAGGCACCCGTATCACACAGAACTTCCTCATCCAGAACTTCGACACAGTATACAGGGTGTTCAATGATCTGGATTCTTTTACATTTTCAAGTATCCTGAGCATGGTCTTCGGATTTATCGCGGAAAACGATGAATTGGATAAGGTATGTTAACTCTAATATTAATCAGATGTTGCACATGATGGCTCTCTGTAAATTAAGAATTAAATTAAAATTATAAATTGAAAAAATTACGGCTCGGGCAGGACTTGAACCGGCATCCACAACGTTCCGTGCTGTTGCTCTAACTAATAATTACTTAGAAAAGTTGTACAGATTTTTTTTTATTTACTTGCCTCTAGGCCAGACACTCAATACTATTGTGTTCACAGCTAAAACAGTTCGTGATGCAGAACAAAAATAGACTGGTGCCGATGTCCCAGACATTGCAGATGATTGTGGACACTGCCACGTTAAGGATAGACTGGATTCGCACCCACTCTAGAGGCATTAATGATTGGTTCCACAAATACCTTGTTGGTGAGTTCATAATCATTCTGTTACAATTAGACTTGATCCAGCAAATGTGTATCGGATTTCAAAAACACTATTATTCACATTAAAAAATCACTCAAATAGGCCATTGTTACCAGATAAAAACTAATATATTTTTCTAGGAATTCTAAACCTGGCATTTATTAACTTTTATATTAAAATATTTTCAGAACACGCATCACGAAACATTTCAATGTCAACTGACGCAACGTGGACACAAAATGTCACAATAAATATTTCTGATAGCAACACCACTGCCCCTAGTTCCTAGACAATTTTTATAATTTAATTTAGGATATTACAAATGGCTTTTCGCCTCATCAGACAAACCATTATACGGTACTGTTTTGTATAATCTGTGCTCTCAATTATCTACAAACTTGTACCAAAATAATCTATATTACAGCCAAGAACGTGAAATCTTAATTCTCTATGTTAGATTTTAAGTGCCATGGTGCTTTGCTTGACTTAATTGTGTTATAGTACACGAGAGGAAAGAAACAAAAATGTTCATTAATAATATTATATTGTGTCGGTTTTAAATAAATGAACGTTTGATTAAGACAATAATTTAAGAGAGGTTTAAGCTTTGATTTTTCAACTGTGTAATTCACTTTTAGTAAGCAAATTATTAAATCACGATTGCTATGCTAAAACTATGTTACTTCTGCAAGTAGCCAGAATAGCGTAGAGTTTTTGCGGATGAACCGTCCTCTTAAAGCCAAAGCTGTGTCTAATATTAGCTTATTAATGTTTCAGAAACGCTCTGTTTTTTCTTTGTCTCGCAAATGTAATTTGTTATATAAATGACAAGGACAAAACATAAGTAACCTTAGGTTCTATTAAAATATTTAATTTGAATTTCTAAATAAAAAAGACCGCGTTAGGCACAATTTTATGCTTTTGCATTCGCATTTGAAGTGTATAACAGATTATAAGACGTCATACGATAATATTTTCGTCACAATGACTTTGTCTTAGGTCTTGTATTTAAATATATTTCTAAAACAGCTAAATGATATGTCAAAAGTTACCCTCATTTTTTATTTAAGCGTTGCATTTAGTTCCTAATTCAACTCGAATTTACAAGGGTTTCATTATTATTAATGTAATTATGTAATGTAAAGCTTGTTGATGTGTTAATAAATTATTATTTTTTTTCAAATTAAAATTTGATGTTTTTTTTCATCTTAGCGCATAACACTGATATGTTTATATGAATCTCAATCTTAATTATGTCTATTATTTTTTCTATTTTATATATCTTCACTGTTAAAATTCAGTACAAAAGAAATCGTTGTTCAACTATAATTATAGATACCTACATAAAAATTAAAAACGCGCTTGGCAATTTCTTAATAGATGTTGTGTTTCCCAAACTTCATTGTTAATTGGGTATAAACATCGATCACTAATAAATCATCGTTTATTAGTGATCGATGGGTACAGATAAAACATTTACTGACAACCGCCACGTCAGAGAGTTTGACATGGACAAGAGTCCACCCAAATTTCAAAATGGCGTGTCTATGGTAAATACCGCGAAAATCAATAATGCTTGTAAACAAGCTGCGAACAATTCCACACGACAAATTTACGCGTAAATCTACAAATGTTTTGTTTTCTCCTCTTCTTATAGCTGAAATTAATTGTTTACTTTGTAATCTCTAGTGTTAATAAAAATGGATACCGCCAACGTAGGATATTCTTACCATTTACCCAATGGTGGATGGAATTATAAAATTCGTAATACGCTATCGCAATTTAGCGATCTGTTTAGCGAATTCAATAAATATATCGCCCCTGCTTATCACCATGATCGGTGTGAAAGGTTCGTATTATTATTAATATTTATTTGAAAGCATTAAAACCGTTTTTAATTGAAACCTCTTTTTCAGATCCGTTCAAATGAGGGTGTATAATATGCACAAAGGAGAATTTGTTATGGTTTTTATAGCATTTTTTGCTTGTTTCGGACTCGGAGTTTTTATAGGATTAGCAGGTATTTTATATATTAAATTTTAGTACATTAAAATGAATACAAAATGTTTTCTGTAGCATGAATTAGGTACTTACTGGTTTGATTTGTTTTATACCCGCATTAAATAGGTTGCGATCTCGCAATTAGTTTATTACAATATTCAAGTCGAAAATTATTACTTTTTTTGTTAATTTTACAATTGATACTGAATTTTACCATGGGACTGGCATCACCGTATGTTTATATACATATTACTATTATGAGGGTTAAAAAGTATAATAATATAGGTCCATCACCAACCACAACGACATCTGTATCAGCAACGAGTGTCTTAAAGAACGCAAGTGCGTTGTTTAGTGGGCCCTTCCACCTGCATAGCCCAGCGCTGGGAACGCGCGTACAACAACTGTGGTTGCTCGCTGAAATCGTAACGGATAATGACGATGGTATAGTGTGAAATTTCATACCATTTAATATAAGTATTACTCCATGTTCTAATTAACGTTACATTTAATTAAGATAGATAGATAAATAATCAAAATGTAAAACCTTACTTACTTCTGTTGTTGCTATTGTAAATTATTATTTTTTAATTACGTTGCTATTGATTATAATAATATATTAACTTTTCAGAAGAGATTTTCGATAAAAGTTTTCAAGTGAGCATATCCATTGATGGAGTACTAAACGACCACACGACAACAAATCTAATACCGGAATCCGAAGCTACCAATCGGTAAGAAAAAAAAATCGAAAAATTTCAGTGTCCCAACAAATAAACACCAGTTTGCTATTAATGGGAAAAAAAAAAAAAAAAAAAAAAAAAAAAAAAGGGAAGGGGAGGGGGGGGGGGGGGGGGGGGGGGGGGGGGGGGGGGGGGGGGGGGGGGGGGGGGGGGGGGGAAAAAAAAAAAAAAAAAAAAAAAAGGGGGGGGGAAAAAAAGGGGGGGGGGGGGAAAAAAAGGGGGGGGGAAAAAAAAGAAAAGGGGGGGGGGGGTGATAAAAAATATAAAATAAAAAAAAAAAAAAAAAAAAAAAAAAAAAAAAAAAAAAAAAAAAAAAGGGGGGGGGAAAAAAAAAAAAATAAAAAAAAAAAAAAAAAAAAAAAAAAAAAAAAGGGGGGGGGGGCGCCAAAAAAAAAAAAAATTTAAAAAAAAAAAAAAAAAAAAAGAAAAAAAAAAAAAAAAAAAAAAAAGGGGGGGGGGGGGCCCCCCCCGCGGGGGGGGGGGGGGGGGGGGGGGGGGGGGGGGGGGGGGGGGGGGGGGGGGGGGGGGGGGGGGGGAAAGAGGGGGGGGGGGGGGGGGGGGGCCAAAAACCCCCCCCCCAAGAGGGGGGAAAAAAGGGGGGGGGGGGAAAAAAAAAAAAAGGGGGGGGGGAAAAAAAAAACCGGGGGGGGAAAAAAAAAAAAAAAAAGGGGGGGGGGTTTTTTTTTTTTTTTTTTTTTTTTTTTGGGGGGGGGGGGGGGGGGGGGGGGGGGGGGGGGGGGGGGTTTTTTTTTTTTTGGGTTGGGGGGGGGGGGGGGGGAGAAAAAAGGAACCCCCCCCCCCCCCCCAAACCCAACCCCCCCAAAAAAAAGGAAGGAAAGGGGGAGAGCCCGGGGGGGGGGGGGGGGGGGGGGGGGGGGGGGGGGGGGTTTTTGGGCCGGGTGGGGGGGGGGGGGGGGGGGGGGGGGGTTTGGAAAAAAAGGGGGGTTTTTTTGGGGTTGGGGTTGGGAAAAAAGGAAGAAAAAGACCAAGGGGGCAAGACAAAGAGGGGTTTTGGGCAACACTAATTAATGGGAATGCCGTGGAAAACATATCTAATTTACCTTTTTAATTTTCAAAAAAAAAGTTAAATATCACTCAATCAAATAGCTACCTAGGTAAACTTATGACCGTCCCACTAGTGAAAAACTAAAGACTCTAATTTATATTTATTAATTATTATACCAGTTCTCAAATCAAGGGCGTAGAACGAACGAGAAGAAATGGCAAGAAACTCACCGCAACTCTTTTTATCGCCATGTTTCATTTTACAGTCTTCACATACTTTAGAAGCACTGTATTTTTTTTCTTGTTAGAGCGGCTTCTTCCGAATCCTAAGTATCGTTTGTTTTAAAAGCTTAATCTCACGAAAACTTTGAACATTTAAAACGCCTCTCAATAACATAATGTATCTCCTAAGAACGCAACATCTAAGATGCAAGAAGCAGATATGCGAAGAAGTGATGGTGCTACATCTCGGCTCCTTGGAGTACACCCATTACATGTTGACTGTACGTTTCTACGGCCTCCACGAGTTCCACAAACGATATACCATCAGAGAAGTGATGTTCTATGTAAGTATCAAAATTACTTAACAGCTTTTTTTTTATTGATTAGTATGTATTTTGGCCCGGGTCGTTAATACTAACTGGACGTTAAGGCGCGCGAGGGCTCATCGTGTCGGGCTGTGGGAGATTGGCATTGTGCACTCACCAGATGGCTCCTGTGGAGTGTGTTAGAGTCGGCATGGGCGTATAAATTCGCCTACAGGGCCTTGGACTTAAAAAAAGAAACAAAGCTATAACCTTGAAAAACTTTTCGTCACATTTGACCTATCTTTTTCAGTTTAAAACGTACAACCCTGGATTCACGCAAATGGAGACTTGGTTCAGATTCATCTTCCTCCTGACAACTTTTACTGTAGCTGTAAGTAATACCTAGTTATTGCTTAATATAAAAATACTATAATTTGGGAAAAAAAAAATAGATTTAAAAAATGTAAAATAAAAAAATGATAGAGGGCAGATAAACAGTAACGGGTTCCCTTGATGGTAGGTGAAATAACCCCATCCATATAACATCTCAACAAGGGGCACTGTCATATTATCATTTTAACTTATTTTATAACATATTTGCTCGTAAAGTGGTTGTAATTACACCAACTTCAATATGGTAATGTATCTCATTACGTACTTGTGCGATAATGTAATGTAAAAGGCACGTGTTTTTTTAAATAAAGTTTTACGATACTCCGTCTAAAAATGAACGATACTTTTAAAAATCTTAGCAAAGAGGTTTTATGTCAAGAAATTGGTCAATATTTTATGAATAATATTGACTTTGGGAAATAAAATATACAAACAAATAAACATTTAAATATTTAATTTAATTAATTTTGACAATAAATTACAACTATTTATCTATAACAAAAACACGAAAATGTTAATTTACTTTCAACTTACCGCACTTATATCATAATGTACTATTTTCAGTGCTGGTTCGCTCACACCCTTCGCAAGTATTCGACTCAAGACTGGGCTATTGAACAGAAATGGTTATCAATTTTACTACCGCTACTTCTGCTTTATAATGGTGAGTAGTAATTATGGAAAGAAAGATTATGGTTTTTAGTTTAACGTAGATATTTTTATTTTCTTTTAATTTGAAATTATATTTAGGTAATATGTCCTTGTTGATTGGAAAATGTCCGCAGATCCAATATATCCGTTGCGGCTGGTATCTGGGGGGTGTTTTGCACCATTCGTGGACACGATGTTCCAGACTACGTTTCTCGCTTGCGTCATGCTTTCCTGGCTAGCGCTCTATCATGGCTTGAGACAGGTATACATTTTGAAATGTAAATAACACCTACGCTTATATCAATTACAAATAGAACCAAATACAATTTCGTTTTTTATTTCTTTTTCCAGAACGAACGAAGTTTTGTCTCATTTTACTTGCTGAAGGTGATCATCGTGGGTTTGGTTTGGACTCCCGCGATGGTAGTGGCCGTGTGGCAAAAGTATTATGGGTACTATGACCCTACCTTCAATTATGTAACCGACCCTAACTTCCGGGTAAGTGGCGGAAATTCATACATATGAAAAGCTAGATCTGCTACGCTAGTGTCTTCTCTTTCTTGGAACTTATATTTGAAGAAACCAGCTGGGTCCTTACACAACTGACGCGCTGTGTCTTCTCGCTTTTTTAAGTAAACATAATAATATATCTTTCGCGTTTAAAACTTGTAAAAATAATTGAAATATGTGGTATTCGAATAGACTACAAGCATTGGTACATATTAAATCACGATAACCTTTCGTCTTTTGTACAGGTAGTGAAAATATTATTCTTCAGTGCCGTCGCCCTATACTTTTTGTACCTGCTTATTCTCGTTGTTAAGGCATACAGCGATCTAAGGAATATGCCTTTTTTTGGTAAGTTGCAACAAACTGAGAACAAAATATTTTTGTTAAAGAAACCAAATATGTAGCTTGTTAAAACAATCTTTTTTCAGATATAAGATTGCGGTGCCTATCAATTATTGTAGTATCAGTGATATCTATAATAACAATATTAGCGCTGCACTCGTGGGGCCCCGCAGCACTGCAAGACCATTGGGCCTCGCAACCAAAGGTCCATTTTGACACATCCGCTCCATTTATGGCAATGTACGGTCTTTTCAACTTCAAACTGTACACCTTGGCGTATCTATTTTCGCCAGGAAGCGGATCGATACATGGTATGATTATGTGAATTATAGTCTTCATTCAGCTTGTAGTGCCAAAAGTACTAACACTCATTTTTGTTGTAAGTAACTGTCCGGCTTGAAGGACCATATGTATACCAAATAGCTATTATTTATTCTTGGCACTGTTGATTAAGAAATGTACATTCAAAGAGTTTCAAATTAAAATATGTCCGGCTCGAAGGACTATCATATGACATTTACGAAATAAGTTACTTTTGGCGTTTTTTCTTCCAGAAACAGCTATTACCAAAGACAATCCGGCCTTTTCTATGATCAACGATTCTGATGAAGACGTTATCTATGGTTCGGATGAGGAAAGCCGCCGTCCTCTTAACTCGCACTCACGAGCGAACACAGAAAATATAATATGATGCGATATATTTTGATCTTTGCCTATATATTGTATTTCTTTTCCCTGTTATATTATAGACAATTCAAAGAATAATTTAATTTTTTTTAATTTTTTAATGAAGTGGTTGCTTAGAAACAACGCAATAATAATAAGTTAAAATAAAAAATACACTACAATCACAGAATACAAATTCCAAGTGTTGCTTTGTTATATTTATATAAATTTTAACGGTTTATTAAACACTATGGAGAATAGGATTTAATAATGGGGCATTAATCTTTTCCTAACATATTTTGTATGTGTTAGTACATTATAAATTTGCTGCAATAAATAATTCTTGATGCCCCATAACTTACAATAAAAAACAGCAATAAAAGAGATGACTAATAGAGACATTTTATTGACAATTTTGAGTATAATAATCGAATTAGAAATGCAAATGAAATGCCTTTAGGAACTTATCTTCAGGAAGAAAACAATACAAAATGAAAACGAAGTTAGTTTGAATTGTTAACTGACGCAACGTAGTCTCATATAGGCATTCTTAAACACATCCAAAATCCATGCCTACATCATATTCCTCACGATTTGTGCTTATGGCTATGAATACTGATTTCACAATAGATATCGGCTTTGAAGATGACAAAATCATAAGCTCTTACTATGAATAAGGTACTAAGTTCAAATGTTTTCTTTTACAAATACACGAGCAAAGTATTTCCCAATTTCATTTGTAAAATAGATGTTAAAACAATTATATTGAAAAATGCATACATAATCATTATAAACATAACAGTGACATAATGTAATAAAAACCAAGGTCGGCCGCCATTTTATGATGTCAATGAAGCCGCCATTTTGTTCAAGCAATACTGTCAAAACGTAGATATTGCTATTTAAAAAAAACATTATTTAATTTAATGAATACAATAAATAATAAGTCAGTGTAACCTAGCTATACATGTAGTCAATCTATTGCTATAGTCTGTAAATTGTTCAGAGAGTGGGTAATGAGAATAACTGGATGTGGCTGGAGAACCAGAGAAGAGATAGGTCTTTCTCTGGCGCCACAAGGCTCTGCAGGAATGGCGTTCGGCGTCGCCGCAGTGCGTCTCAGCACTGCGCCGCCTCTCATTACACAAGTGATACCAACTCTAGGATCACAGTTCTCATTAACACTAGTTTCCTCATCGTCTGAACACAGATCAATAACTTCACATTCATTGTCCACTTTATGCAAAGGATCACTATCTTTGACATCTACATGCATAGATTCTGCCTCTGTATCAACAAAAACCACATCTTTGTCTTCAACTTCTTTACTGGCTCCTTCCTTTTTGAGATTATCTATATATTCCTGTATTTTTTCAGAACTCATTCTTTCTATATTTACAGAGATGGGTCTACACTTTAAAAGCAACAATTGTCCTTTAATATCTAAGATTTTTTTACCCCTTTGATCAGGGAACACATGCTTGCGATGCCAATAGTCTATAGGTCTTTTGTATCTCACAGGAAATGTCTGATTTTTTCCTTTACTAACTAAATTTTTGCTAAAATTTGTATTACAGCAGTAGCGCTCTACTCTTTCACGAGAATATGTTGTGTCTCTCTGGACATTGATTTTTGCATTCTTCATATATGCTAAAGAAGAGAATGGATAGGGAGGCCCTCTGTCTATGTTGGTTGAACTCCTAGAATTCCTTGGTTTTACATCAAGGGAACTGTTTTCAGGGTCCTCCTTTTTGGTCTCTTCTTGAGCTGGCTTCAATTTCAATGCAGAGAGAAACTCTTCTAAGGTCCCACTGCATGTACCAGATTCGTAGTTCACATTGTTACACAGTCTTTCATGAGCTTTGAGCACTTCTACATTGTCAAAGTGACTGTCACAAGTATCACAGAGGTAAATATCAGCAGGCTTATCATAGAATAAGTTCTCATTCCGGAATGTAACCAGAAGGCGGCCCGTGGGCGCATGATAGAGAGACGTTGTGTGATCGTTGTTGTCGACGTAAGTGAGTATATTACGAGGATATCTCGCCAAGTGGGCGGAAAACCCTAAAAGAAATGAGCTATTATGGTAATCGTAGCATCTTTTCACCAAATTCCTAAGCCTCACCAGCCAGTCTTGCGGTACTTTCCAAGGTCTAACAAAGGGGTGCGAGAAAGGGACATTTTTCGGCCACCAAGGTGGTTGCCGGATGTCTTTTGCCGTATCATGACCCCAAGAACATGTCACCATGAAAGTTATAAACTTCTCTAAATCAGCCGCTGAAATTTTTGAGAGATCTGTCGGGTTACCGTTCGCAAAAAGCAAGGGCAGGTTGGCGATCATGTTTGCTATCGTTTATGGTCATCGTCGGGAGATAGCTACTGGCATTTTAGTTTCCCACAAAAGATAAACGCCAGATTTACTCTCCATTGCTAATTTTCCTAAAACACTGATAACAATATTCTAATATGTCTCATGTACCACTAATCAAGGATCAAAACTTGTTTCGCTCTGAAAATAATTAATAATATCGAAGATCAAGCGCAATGGTTCACTAAAAAGAGAAGGAATAATCTTTTTACCACAGAATAAATGGAAAAGTTCGGGAAAGTCCGTTAGTCGGGATTACTGCTCCCACAGATATATTATAATAGTATTAGCAGTTCTTGACCTTTCCGGCATATTTAAAAAAATATGTTTCGACATACATTAAGGTATTTTAAATTTATGCCCATATATTTATAACTTTTCTCAATTGTATTTCTTATAATTTCTAGCGAGTTCATGTTATAATAAATATAACATTTTCTTAACTACAAGAACGTGTCATTTGTCAATCACCAAACTGAAGTACGACGTGATTGTCATGAAATAAAAATAAACTTCTCGGATGAAAAATAACAAGGCACATAAAAACAATATCTTATTTTGTTAGTTCAAATTATTTTGATTCAACTAAGATAAAATTTAAAAATATATATCACGTAATGTGATTTCTGTATATCACTTTTATGACCCAAACCTTATAGTAAAATTTAAAAAACTTACGAAATGGTACGTATACAAAGCATGTTACATTACTTACACCTAATTTTTCCTCAAATATAAACCTATTGTCCAGCAGGTGAATAGTAGTAACAGCTCTTCTGGGGGATCGCCTACATCCACAACGTTAGAAGCAGTTGATTATAAGTAAGAAAGCTGAAATTGATATATGTATTAATACTAAAAATAATTGAACTTGTAAACCTTGTTTTGGTAATGTCAAGCCTAAGCTTACATTTGTTTTACTGAAAATCACTTTCAAAACTTTTCACTAGTAAAAGTCTTAATTATTATTATCTTATATTTTATTTATGAATATAGGCACAATTTAACATGGCTATTAACGTTAAATTCCTTAACTGTAATAATAATTTTAAAAAACACTTAAACGGTTTAAAACGCGATATATTAGTTAAACTTATTTGAAAATGATTTTTAACTTCGCCCCGACGTCTCCCCGTGCCCACGGTTGCTGCAAAGCATCCGAAACAACGGGCCAAAGTTAAAAATCATTTTCAAATAAGTTTAACTAATATATCGCGTTTTAAACCGTTAAAGTGTTTTATTTAAATGTGTACTACGCGCTTAAACTATAGATAGTATGTAATAATAATTTTTGTGGCACATTTAAATGGCCTGTAATTATAATCATATCTGGTATTAAAGAAGATAATATACAAACCAACAAAAATTTAACTGAAATGCTATGACAAACCACCAAGTTACTGTGGCAATAACTTTTATTTGCTCTAATATAATAAAGAAATATTAATTATGTAAATTAATCTTAGTTTGCAGTTTCCAACATGGTCGATGGAGTATTTAAAAAAAGCAGCCCTGCAACAAAGATTAGTACGTCCTCGAAGTTTGGCATGGGCTGTAATGCTTAATGCTATTCCTCCACCATCTAGTGATATTATGTTAAGGTAATTTACTCTTTTATAGCAAATGCTGCACTAAATGCACTAAAATAAAATAAAACATGGCTTTGGTGAGATATATAAAATATAAATATAGAATTGTATATAATATGTATAATTCCCCCATAAAGTGGGTACAAGACAAGAAATTTTACTAAATTAATTAGCTTATTAATACAGCTATTAGCTTAGTTTGTTTTACAAGTTAGGAAAGTTTAAAGAATATTTTTTTCTTTCTGCCTTTTCTCGCTACATTTTGTTTTTTTAAATTGAATTTTATTTTGTAACATTGTGGTGAAAGTATTTTTTATTTTGTTTGTTATATTCCCTCCATAGCATCAAGGGACACAGGAATTTCTACAATGATTTAAGGGAGAAATTGTCAATGGACCCTCGTGCTGTGATTGATGATGATCCACTGTCCCAGAATGATGAGGTAGGGATTTCATTACAGTATGTTTAACTATAAACTATATTTTAGGTAATGCTTAGCATTACTTTCCTATTCATCTTGCTGGTTAAGGCTTTGATTTTGGAGAATGTCAAAGATATAATAATAAGAAATCTTTACTTTTAACTGTAACTTGATGACTTGCCTGCTTTTTATGCACCCAGGCTCCCTTGTAACCACGGCTTGAAAGTATCTCACGTACAATTACAAATATATGATTGTAGTTTGTTAATGTTAACAATTTTATAGAGCGCATGGAAACAACACTTCTGTGACAATGAATTAAAAGCACTTATACTACAAGATGTGGTGCGGACATACCCAGACGAAAGTTACTTTAGAGATAAAGATGTTCAAGACATGATGGTAAGTTTCAAATCTTATGTAACTGACTCAAAGTAGATTTGAATTTTAAAAATCCAGTTATTCTTTTTCTTCTAACTAAGGTTTTAAGTTAATTATCTGTACTCATATTAGTAAGATGAAGAGTTTGTTTGTTTTGGTTTTTTGATCATGCTAATCTCAGAAACTCTTGGTTTGATTTGAGTATAGTATATGTATGATATAAATATATATTCCTTGTGTAATCCTAGTAGTAGTTAGAGGTTTGATAGATTTTGAAAAGAAAAGTCCTAATACAATCCTTTTCTTTGTTTACATTTTTTTACTGCCTCACTCGCCCAATATTAAGTTATAACTTATCTTATCCACTTCAGTCATTAATGAAACTTTACAGGTACGTGTATTATTCTTTTGGGCGCGAGCTCACCCTAGCCCTGGGTATCGGCAAGGCATGCATGAGGTGCTAGCACCGTTACTCTTAGAGTTATATAGCGACCGTCAGCAATCACATCATCATGAATTGAGGTAACTAAATATAATATAAAAATATAATGATATTGACAAAGGTGTTCATGAGACTAGTTTTTGTTTTAAAATAAATATCTTACTATCAAGGGTCCCATTAAAATTGAGGTAGCAAACAAAGCCAACCAGTTCTATCCTACTTCTGATATCTTTTGTTTTATGACTTGTAAATTTGAATTATCGTTTTTATTTCTTTTCAGTGAAACACTTCAATATTATTTAGATGATAAATATTTGGAACATGATAGCTAGTAAGTATATTTAGTATGTTTTAAAACCCTTACTGTGTTGAAATGTAAAAAGCATTAGTATGTATTTAGTAGTTTTTTACAAATCTTTTTTATTTTAAAAAAAAAACACTTTAACGGTTTAAAACGCGATATATTAGTTAAACTTATTTGAAAATGATTTTTAACTTCGGCCCGACGTTTAAGTGTTTTATTTAAATGTGAACTACTCGCGTAAACTATAGACAGTATTTAATCTTTTTATTATCATTTTAAAATCTTTAAATTGTAGTAAGATGTTTCAAAAAATATATTTTCACTTTTTTTTCTAATTACAGTATGCTCTTCAGCGCTGTTATGAAAGGTCTTGAAGAGTTCTACAGTACCGGAGATGTGGTTCCAACATCTTGTGGTCGTCTACCGCAGACTAGGACGTTACATGTATGTTATTTTCGCTGTAAACCCATATTCGCGGCACTACAGAGAATGCTGTTTTCTTGTGTGTTTAATTATCTATTAAAAATTTGTTATTCTGTTAAGTTTTACTTTGATTAGTTTTTCCTAGACGTACGTTTAAATGTTTAAACAGAACCAGAATGAAGCTGTGAGGTATTTGGAGCGAGTGAGAGAGGAGCACCTGTTTCCAGCTGACCCAGAACTAGCTAAACATCTAGCTGATTGTAATATATCAATGGAACTGTTTGGGATGTAAGTAGCAAGAGTTTTATTATTTACATATAACAAAGTATCTCTATTTTAAGAGAGAAATATGTTAAATATATCTCTTTTAAGCTAGTAAATTATATTATTTTTGTGTTTCTGTTATTTTTTGAATAAATACAGTGAAATCTGGTTAAGTGGGACCTGGATGAACGAGAAACCTCTATTATTAAGACGCTCAATGAGGCCCTTGTTCTTATTCATTAAATTACCTTTGCTTATGAAACTTTTTGAACCAGGGTAAATGAGATTTGGATTCACCGACTTTTTCAACGTTACAATTAAGTCTGTAGTTCAATTACCTGTATAAGTGAGACAAAATAATCAGGTTTTAGGTTTAGGTTTAAAGAATTTATTCTCGAAGATTACATATATACAATCACTTATGAGAATATACATGTTTTGGTCCCTTGAAATCCCAATCAACCAGGTTTCACAGTTGGTAATCTCCCAATCTCCTTTTATATATTTTTAGTCGCTGGCTGCGTTTGCTGTTCGGCCGCGAGTTCCCGCGTACAGAAATACCGCATCTGTGGAGTTTTATATTCTGTGACGGACCGATGTTGCCCAACCTACACTATATAGTAGTGGCCATGCTGATTTCAATCAGGACTGCATGTAAATACTTGTTTATGGTACTTTTGAAAAATACAAGCCAATTTTTGATATTTGGATTTTTATTAGTATTTCTCATTTTAACAATTTCTTTTAAAATTTGGATTTGAAAAGAATAGTATATAACTAAACTATAATATATAAATAAACTATAAATAATACTTTATTAAAATTTCATGTGTAGTGTTGGAATGCGACACTGGCGGTGCACTATCACTATTGATGCGGCCTTCTAGTGCATCTGCAGGCCACGTCTGCGCTCTGGCGTTGCATTTGCGAGATCCACGTCGATATCCTTCCCCACCACAACCACATCTTAACAACAGGTGAACATTTTATCTTGGATCATATACGGATTGAAGATGTTACCGAAAGGGAAACATTACGGTCACCTTTAAATCTGCCCTAAAGGTTTAATTTTGGTGCCACAACCAATATTATTATAACTAAACTTTATAGTAAAAGACGCATTAATTTTCCGGCCCGTGGAAAAAAGTGTTTCATATATTCTTTGTAAAGGTTTACCTGCTAAAAAGGTGAAAATTAGTTTAGTTAAGTTAAATTACTTAAATTCCTCATTATTTATATTTTTTAAATTGAATATGAAAAAGGGTTTATTTAATGTTACCATGGCTAATAATCAAGGGGTTTGATCGACCACCACCAGCCCAACATGTTTTTAACGAAACACGGGGTTGGGCTTTGTCTCTAAATCTCACTATATGAACAGACGGTTTTCTGTAGATTTCCTAACAGCCATATTTTAAATTTTTTGCTTGGGTGTTTCACCTCTATCAAGAGACCTATTTATTGCTTCTCTTACAATAATCTTCTTTCTGTACATATTTCAGTCATGAGAGTGCCATAGATGCAGTCAATTCTGAATGGAGTTACGGTCATAATGTCGAAGAGGAAGCGGAAACCGATGGTTCCGAGGGTGTGGCTGAAGGGGGAGACGTGGCAAGGTCCTTAGCAACATTAGCTCTACTCAGGGCGCGACTTCCCGCAGCCGTTGCCGCGCTACAGGCGGCTTTACCCCGGCCTCCCCCGGATGCTATCCCGGCTTTAGAACAAATCGCGCAGGTACACTTGTATAAGGTTTCCAAGTCTTTTTAATTAAAGTAGTATTATTGGTAACCTAAAAACCAGATAGTGCAAGGGACAAAAATTGTTAGCTATAGAGTCAGGTAATACAAAAACAAGAACAACTCATGAGTGGAATTTTTTTAAGTGTCTTCTATGCCAACATAATGGAGATTACAATAAATCTTTAACAGTAATAAACACATGTTTGACATGCCGTTTGTTGTAAAGTTGTGATTATTATTATTATTTAAAAAAAATATGCATTCTTTACCAGATAAAATAAAAGTCTTAGAGTTCACAAAAGTGGACAAGGTGTGAAAAAATATCATACGTCTATTTTTAAATCATGCTGTAGAACTAAACGGGTATGGAGCTATGAAATTGTATGATAAAAACATCGATCATAAATCATTATATTTATATAGTTAACGTAATTTTCACTAATTGTGATCGCTACCATTACAAAAGACTTCAAGGTCAAAAGTTTAAGGACCACTAGTTAACTATGGCATTGCAATTCGTTTCTTTTCCTCTAGCTCTCAGCACTACTACAATGCCGTAACCACGCCCTCATAGATGTAGAAACGGCCCTGGAAGCTGCTGAAAATCAATCATCCTACGTAGTGGGGAAACGACAGTTAGTTCCAGTTATGATGCTCGCTGGCAAGAAGACAAACAAAAAAGTGAATCCAGTGCAAACGAACCAAGTGAAAGTGATAAATAAAGTGAAGGAAGTCCCATTACAAGTGTTTCATCAGGTTGAGTGTGACAGCACCAGTGATTTGCCCTTCCAGGACCCTCTCCGGCTAAGGACAGAGTGACTACGTCGGAAACTGTTGTTGTACAGCTACTATCATTAAATTGTGCCATTACTTTGATTTAACATAATTAGTATGTTAAGTCAAATATGTATACTAATAAACATAAGCTACATTTAACAGGCAACTTTTGTTTACACACTTATAGTATAAGAATATTGTTACTTTCAATATTAATAGTACTAAATTCTGTCTGTCAACACGTGAGTAGCGAGAGTTTAAAACGCCATATACATATGTAAGTTATCAAGTCATTTGGAGATTATTTTAACTACACCTCGGATGCTCTGCAGCAGCTGTGGTGGCGGAGAGATCTAACACTAATATATATCGCGTTGTAAACTGTTTAAGTGTTAAGTTGTACTATTATTTAACTTAATAGTACTGTTTTATAAAATCATGTATTATATTGGTTTTTTTTTTGCTATAAATATACTATAGATATTATATCCATTGATGGCGCTTGATTTTGTCCCTTTGTAATGGTAGCAAATAAAGCCAGAAATAACCTTCAGAATAACTAAGGCAGTAAAGAGTGACATCAATGGAGTAGTTGGTCTATTAAAAAAAAATATCGTCTGAAATATAAATGATGATAGTGTGCTTGGAAAACTGTTAGCTGCCTCGTTGTGAAAGACGCATTTATTTGTATGCATGTGATAAATTTTCAGTGTTCAAACTCTAAATTGTGATTTTTATAAGCTGTTATTATTGTAAGGAAATGCCTGGTGGACTAGGTATTAGAAATATTTTATTATTGTTTATTGCTAATTACTTATTTACTTTTTGGGTCTTGAAGAAAGCATTCTTGTTCTAGTACAAGGGATGTGTCTGTTAAAAAATCACTATTTGTTAGTACCCCAAAATGTTTTCAAGAGCCCACGGTGTATGATTTTTATACACGCTTGTAAAAACGTGTTTTTATTTAAAAAGTTCTTAGCTTAAATTATGGCCAAAGAAAATTTTATCATCGTTACAGACACAGAATTTTGCTGCCCACAAATTAGTAAACTTTCATGCCTGCAAAAGTTGAAAATTAATCCTAACTGCGTTTTAATGCAATAGATAAGTAATAGCTTAGCTATAGATATATATTTATATAAGTTACAGGTGGTTACCATTGGATCAAAAAATTATTTTGCATTAGATCTCAATCCTTTCCGACCGATCGATGTTAGTGTTAGTAATTAAGTAGATTATATCTTATAAGACTGTATTGATCAAATGTAAGTTAAGCTCAAATTTGGGATTTTATTATCTAAAACTAGTAGGTACTTTTTACATTTTTAGGTGTTTATATTGTAAGATCCTATTAGCCTAGCTAGGATTGCATATTCTGCCTTAAAACATCTTTAAAAATATGGAGTCTTATTTCAATATTGTAATTATAGCATTAGGTTGGTACTTTCTATAATAAAGTATATCCTTTATGTGTGTTATTTCATTGTTACCAACTTTCCTATGAAAGTAGTTTGTATAATGTGTAGTACACTAAGTAGGAATAGATTCCCTCTCTTTATCGACATCCACTTTGTAATAGGAACTTTGTAATATAATCTATGAATAGGAAGTTTGGAATGCGATTAATATGTTGCTGCTTGTTGTTTTTATTTATACTATTGGCTATAACTAAAATATAAAACACATTTGTTACTTAACTACCTACATGTTGCTTTTTATACTAATTTACCGAATACACTATTTTAATAAATTTTCCTATAAAATTGTAAAAATAATTTCATATTTGATTGTATAATGAAACATTAGTCGTGTCCAATTTATTTTGAAACTGTGTCTAGGAGGAATATTCCAAAGTTGTTGACATCTATGGCTCATCGGACGAAGCCTCTCTAAGGTGATATGCATACAGTCTTAAGAAGTACTAGCGGCCCTGTCCCGGCTTTGCACGGGTAGACATAAATAAGTACAAATATATAAATTATAAGCATGCTAATTAAAACGACCATGAGTCACTAAATTAGAAAAAAAAAGTATTGCGCGTCCTCTCTGTTAACGACCATGGTCTATCTCGCTGGTTCGGAAGCCGCTGCGAGCGTTCAGTGTTAGTGTCCCGTGCACGCGTTCGCGAATTCCTAGCACTATTTCCTTCAAGTCGCTGCGACGACCTTGCATTTTGTTCTGTAAGATGAACCTGAATATTCGACAGATTCTCTGGCTTGCGATTGGGACGCGTACACTCTCTTATACTTTCCAGGCCATCATTATTATATTCAGAAGAAGACTCTATTTGCTAATCTCGCTTGGGAACTATTCTTAGATATTTATTTTAAATCAAAGTAATTAAGAATAAACTAATAATAATACAAAAGAAAATATTCAAGTTCAAAGGGATAAGTTCTAAAAAGGGGGAAAAAAAAAAATAAAAAAAAAGAAAAAAAAAAAAAAAAAAAAAAAAAAAAAAAAAAAAAAAAAAAAAAAAAAAAACCCTTGTTTGAATGAAACAAATATTCTATAATATAAAAAGTAATCATCAGGTATTGAGGCAGTCTTGTCGAATATACATTTTTTGGAAAAATTTATAAATGGTACGGATGACACGGTCTGATTTTGGTCGGCATTAATACTTTTCTATTAAATGTAAAAAAGCAGTTATAGTTACGTAAGTTAATACATAGTTACGATATATGCTCTTTTTTGTAGATATTGATATATTCTATAATATTGTCAAACATTTTTGTCATCATTAAACGCAGCGTATGGAAGAAAGACATTTTTGGTAATTTTTTTACGCCTTCCGTTGGTTTTAGTAAGAATTTCTATAGATGCCTATAGTAATCAATACTAAATATAACCTATGTTAGTCAGTGGTAATATAGCTTTCTAATGAAAAAAGAATTATTAAAATCGGTCCAGTAGTTTTTGAGTTTAACCGTTACATACAAAAATACAAATCTTTCCTGTTTATAATATTTATATAGATAATAACTTTATAGTAATAGTGTTAATAATTCAAATTCTAAATATTTTTCTATGGCGAAAAGTATTATTGGTTTTACTAGAAGATACAAAAATCTGAAAAAAATAACTAAAATGTAATCTGCAGTCTGCACTGTCATACAAATGACAGAAAATATTTGTAACTTATGTTATGTCAAACCTTTGCCTTCGATTTGTTTATTTTGGCTTCGTACAATTTTGATTCTTGAATTATAATTATTTAATTTTTTTTCATTCCGAACTATAAACTACCTATAACATTGTAGCGTCTTCTTCACATACAGAAATGTCTGATCCGGATACAAATAAGCAAGATAACGAAAATCCTTTAGATATAGATGGAAGCAGTTTTAACTCAGAAATGTATTTAGACTGCTTAATGAAATGTGCTACGCTACGGCAAGTAATGGATAAAGAGGCAGAAGTAATCACCCAAAGCCAATTCCTTCAATCCGAAATGCAGACATTGGTGTACGAAAACTACAATAAGTTCATTTCAGCTACTGAAACCGTACGTAAAATGCGATCGGACTTTCAAATTATGCAAGAGGAAATGAATAAGTTAAGTGAAAACATAAATAAAATCACAACCTTCAGCTCGAATATATCTGAAACTCTCAAAGAAAGTGGTAACAATGTGAACAGGCTCTGCAGTACTCGGCAGTTGTTAGATAAATTACAATTCCTATTCCTACTACCGACTCAGTTGAATAAAGCAATTCAAGAGGGACGATATTCTGATGCTGTCCATGATTACACACACGCACAAAAAGTACTGCAGAAGTATGGTGATCAACCATCATTTCAAAGTATTCAATCTGAATGCTCAGAAATAATTTATGATTTAAAGAAAAGCTTGAGAGAAAAGCTACTCACCCCTGACACTACAGCTTCTGAGTTAGCTGAGAGTGTAGGCTTATTGAGACAACTGCAAGAATCTGACTCATCTTTGCAAGATATCTTTTTAAACTGTGCTGAAAGTAGACTAGAACAACACCTTAAATCTTTAAGCTCTATGGTCAATAGCACAGATATACTGGAATGGGTTGAGAAGTGCAATGGAGCAATATTAGCTGACCTTGGTATTGTTATTACTTGCTACCATGACATGTTTCAGGATAAAGAAAATACCAATTTACCAGATTTTGCTGATAAAGTTATGAGTCAAGTGTTTCACCTTTTTGAAGATGTTGTAAGGAGGCCAGAGAATATAGGCACGGAAATACTCATCAGAGGCTTGGATAAATTCTTTAGGAAATTGCAAGCTATGTCTGAAATAATATCCAGTGATGGTGTGTCCAATAAAGCTTTAGATGTTGTCATACAATGTATCAATCACAAAGCCACAATGCAACATCAAACAATTCAAATTCAATTTAAGGAGAATCTCATGAGAGTGAGGCAGTCTTTAGCCACAAAAGGCACAGAGAATGCAGATCTAAAAGACATACTAAATTCATTGCAAGTCTATTTGATGCAGAAAATTCAAGCATCCCTCTTAGACCTTATGGCATTTCTACAGAACAATCTTTCTTTTGGCCTCAAACCTTGGTGTGCAAAAGGCGTAGCTGACAGCTGCTGGTTAGTTATCTCTGAAACCTTGATAAATCTCTCAGATATGGTAAAAACACTGTCTGTAATGCAGACCTCAAATAACATACCCTTTGAGCTGCTACTCATTTTAGCCAAATTATGTTTAGAAATACAGGAAAATGGAGTTACAATACTACATAATCATTTAACAAGGCTACTAGAAGAGGCTTCGCCAGGTTTATCAATTGATAAGAAGGATACAAATAATATCATGGTTAATCTGTCAACAGCAGCACAATCTGCGTTAGATTCAGAAGTGGTATTCATTGGACAGACTGCAGCACAAATGCTGCGGGTGTCTGTACTAGCCAGAGATTGGTTACGGGCGCCCGAGCCTCGCGGCCCCAGGGCAGTGTGCAGACGAGTAGTAGAAACCTTGGCTAGTGCTGACAGCGCTGCGTCACAACTTTTCCCTACAAACTTTAAGCCATCTAGCGATTCGAGTCGGCGGACCATATGGTCCAGGGCACCATCTTCTTTCTCGCCGATCAATAGACTGTTCTCTGAGAGAATTGAAGTCTTTAGCCCGGCCGGAGCTGACCGCGCGGCGTTGTCAAATGGAGCGTTGAAAGTAGCGCTCAAGGCGTTAGTGGAGTGTGTAAGACTGCGCACCTTTAGTCGACATGGGTTGCAACAGTTGCAAGTAGATGTCCATTTCTTACAGCAAAGGCTCTCTTGTATGGGAAATGACGAAAGACTACTTAATGCTCTTTTGGAGGACGCATTGTCGTCCGCGCAGTTGCGCTGCGTTGACCCTCAATTGATGGAGCCAAGTATAGTGGACATCATTTGTGAGCGTGGATAAATGACCACAATAAATAGAAGTTGCTTGATGAAATGATTTGTTAGATACATGTTTCTTGTTTTAACTATTTATTTATAAGTTATTATTTATCATAAATATTATACTGTATATATGTAGGTTGAAAAGGTATAATAGATGATGTAATAAATTTATTGAAGCATTTTGTTCTTATTGGCATGTTTAAATTAGTGCAAATCAGAGATATAATGTGTTGAAATAATAGATTTGTCTTGTTTTTAGATGATTTATTTATAACCCAATAATGAAAAATGTATCATCATATTAAAAATAATGATATCATCTACATTATACTATTATATATTTTCTTATGTAAATGCTCCTAGAACATAAATCTCACGAGACGAGCTACATCCTTAATTACATGTTAGTTACCAGGGTACAATAAACATTTAAAATTAATTAAAAACAACATCATAACATTTACTACTAAACAGAAGATATTTTGGTCCTATATAACTCTAAAAAACAATAATATAATTATTGTGGAGATTAAAAAATTTTCATCCAAAACATAATGGTTTATCCAAAGTTTTTGGTCATTCACTATAGTTAATTTGAAGGCAGTTTTAAACTGACTCGCTTACAATAAAATATACGGTGTCGATCACCAATTTTTTATATTACGTTATCGTCAAAATGTACTACAAAAATCTTTTTGCATTTCATCGTGGGAAGCTCGCGAGTTATTACGCCCTATTTTCCCAATTATAAGCTCATCCAATACGTCGTTATTTACATTGAGTTGCATTTATGGATATGCCTTACTATTGAATGTACCTTTACCCTGAACTCGTGTGACAAATTGACAGATAATTCCTACAGTAATTGTTGTGTTGTCTTTGTAGACGAGCTTACTAGACATCTTTTAAAGAAAGACTTAATCTTGAATTAGAAATGCTTTCGTAAAGTTTTAAGACTGCAGTTTGTAGGTAAAAAGAAATTTGATTCATGTGGAAACTTCTCGAAATGTACACAAAGGTTTCCAGCCCTTTGTGAATGACATTTACTTTAAATTGAAGCGAGGAAAGTCGCGATGGGTTATTATTTATATATAAATTATAAGGTAACTATACTGTGTCCTCTGTGGTTATTTATAATTCAGAAAGAGCGTTATTTATATTATAGGAGTTGAATCAATAAGGGGTTAAAATGGCCATATTATTGAGGATATATTCCTAAAAAGGTCGCGAGAGCAGGAAAAAACCTGTGTGCGAAGCCTATAGACAATCACTTGGGAAGGGTACTTGACATTGTTTTGTGGTAATATGCGTTGTCTAAAAATTATAAATAGGCTGTTTTTGCTCGCGGTCCAAAATAACCCGGTCCACACAAATTTTGATACAGACACCGAGGCATCTTAGAATAACATGCACTTCCCAAATGCAATATTATCAGTGGCAGAAGACGATCATGTTTAGTACAATTAAAATGACACCTTACTACTAAAAAACATAAATTATTTCCTCTTATACACATGTATCAAAACAAATTGACAAAATATAGATTATCCGCTTCCAGTACTCTTCGGCAAAGCGCGGATTATTTATTATGTCTTTCACGAACGACCGCTCTTAAAAAAGTCTTGTTCACCGCAAGTGTAAAAATATACTTCTATCGATTAACAGTGGTCCGTATGTTTCATTACAATGAGCGTGTGTAGTGCGTTTAAGTCCTATTCGAATTCAAACGTTAGAATACATTGTCGTGAATGAACAAGTATAATGGCCCCAAGTACCAAAATGTTTCAGAAATACCCAAATGTTTATTCAATCCACAAAACTTTAAAACTCAAGAAAAATATTTAAAAAAAATAAAATGATAACAATTTTAGTGTATGCAAGCGCACGAGTAATTAAAATAATACCTCACCACATAAGCCAAGCGAAAAAAAAAACATTTTAAATTTTATAATTCACTGAAATGTTTGTAAATTTGTTTTTATCTTCAGGCTTAACGCAAAATGTTCATTACGACAACGAATTCTAGCGTTTTAAGTTTTATTAGTTCTCCGCTTATCTGGAGCTTGGCCTCTTTGAGTCGACGTCCTACGCGCTTCACTCTTCGATTCGACTTTGTCGCTATTACTAGACTTTCTGGTTATTTTATGAATGGGACTACGGCTTTGCTTCTGAATGACTCGCGCTTTTTGTGCTATTGTAGGTGTCTTTTTAAGGGTTTTAGTTTGCTTTGCCTTTGTGTTGTCCGGAGGTGGGGAACGACGCTTTCGTATTCGCGGCGGCGTATGGGCGAGGGTCGTGTGCCGCGACAGAAGTGCCGCGCTGCTGAATAGTTGTCCACAGTCGCATCTATGCTCTATTGCTGCACCTGAAATAGTTCAATATTTCATTTTATTTTCTACTAAATAAACATTTTAGAAAGTATAAACAAACATTTGTTAGCATTTATATGGGGACCAAGATTTTTACTTTAAAATTCTAATACAAACTTTTATTGCCATTATTAGATATTTACAAACTTATAACTACATTGTGTGCATAAAAATAATAATAATATAAGTAATAAATATATATAAGAGATGGCAATCGGTACCAGTCTCAGCTATGCTGCTTGTGACACTCAGCAGCGCTGGTTTTCAGACTGGCCCGGGCATATTGATTTCAGATTGGTTATCCTGCTACAAAAAGAGGGACTCTTGAAAGAGCTAATTGTAAGTAACTTATATATACAGTAGAAAATTCAATACTCACGTTTTCTAACAGTCTTGACAGGAGGAGGAGAATTTAATTTTGGTTTTCCTAGAGATTTCCTCTTCGCAATGCCGGGAAGAGACTTTTGCTTTTCGACCACAGACTTCCGTTTAAACTTCTCTACTATCTTTGGAGAAGTTTTCTCTACAGCAGTTTTCGGGAAGGAATATTTGACGTCGCTATCGTCCGAATCCGTGGAAGCGATCGCCTCTAGAACGATGCTTTTGGGTTTCTTGACAGAGGCCAGTACCGGTTTGCTTTCGAGTGCCTTCGCTTTGAGACGCGGAATCTTTGGCGGGTGTTGCAATGAGATTCTACGTTTAACTAAGTCTTTCGAACTAGGTCTCTCTATTTGTAAGGAACTGCGTTTCTCAGCTCTGACCTTCATGAATTTCTCTTCTAGTGTATCTTCTTGGTAGTCTGGGTTCAGCATGTATCTTACGTCATCATCGTCACTCGAATCGACAGATTTACTCTCTTCAACTATTGGACCTAGTGCACTATGGGTTCTCTGTTTCTTTGTAACCGCGATCCCTAATCCCTTGTCTTTACCCGCGGTTCGTTTCTTAGGTGTCGGCGTATCTGGTATTACAATAGTTTCAATTATCTCTTGCTTGATCTCGGGCGCTTTTTCAATAAACTTAGGACGTTTAGAAGTAAGTTGGATTTTCTTTGTAATAAGAGGCAGGTCATCGCTCTTATCGGAATCCTCGACTAGGATTTCATCTTTTATATCTAGTTTTTTATCAGATGGATCGGGCGAAGGCTGTTTTATTGCTTCTGGTTTTGATTCTATATCCTCGATTTCTGAAGGTTTCGTTTCCTGATTCGGTGGCGTTTGTATAGATTCACATTCTAATTGTACATCTTGTGGCACTTCAGACTCATTCTCAACGTCGTCCTTAGTGTCGTCAGTAAGATTTTCCTTAATTTTGACTCGCTTTGCCGCCGACTGTTTCTTCTTTCGCTGGCATATAACAAAGTGTTTGTTCAGCGAGTGCTCATTTGGAAACACCATGTAACAGAGTGAACATTCGTGTATAATGTCGCGGGTGGAGAGCGAACTCTGAACACTCTTGTCATCAGACTTTTCAGAACTTGTTTCTAAATGTTGGTCCTTATGTTCCATTAAATGTTGTAATTTCTTGAACGTCTTCTTGCATATATCACATTGATGAAACGATGGTGTTTTTGGTGATGAGTCTTCTGCGCTTTGAGGTATGACCTTTTTGTTGATGCCGTCATGCGTTTCCCTGTGCTCAACCAAATGGTGCAGCTTTCTGAACGATTTATCACATGGCTCACATCGAAAACCTGCACTGTGGTCCACAGCCTCCTTTACCTGGGTTGAAGTCTTGTTATTTTTGTTTTCATTATTTTCTGAAGAGCTCTTTCTGCTCAACCTTGAGGACATTACCTTTGGATCGTGAATAGAGCGATGTTGAACTAAGTGATGTAACATTCTAAATTCTTTTTTACAAACTTCACAACTAAAAACATTCTTGTCCATTTTATCCTCTTTTTCCTTCTCGCTTGTGTGTTGTAGTTTGTGACTTAGCAAATAGGACAGTTGACGAAATGTTTTTCCACACAACTCGCAAACTAAATTGTCGATTTTAATCTTTGTAGATTTTTTTAATTCGTACTGACTAACGTCCTTAAAGTTGTCTGTAATGTCGATTTTTACTTTATTTTCACTTTCTTCTTCTCGTTTTGATGTCGGCTTGGTATCTCTGGATCTACGTTTTCGCGGTGCGACAATTTCTTCATCTGAATCAAAATCTTCAGATTTGCTATCTATAGATATAGATCTTTTCGGGTCCCCTAAACGTCGCAATCTGCGGGAAGTTCGTTTATCTGAGTCAGATCTGTTAGGAGATGGTCCCGTGCAGTGCTTTACGTGTTTAAACACGACATTTTCTGACCGGAACAATTTATTGCAAATGGGACATACTATATTTTCATTTATCTTTCCCATGGTCCAGTTTTCTCTTATCATTTCATCATCACTACTGTCTTCACTTGATTCTGTCTGCGACGTGTTTGATTTGTTTTCATGAGATCTTGTGTTTTTCTGTGGGCTTTGTGTTTTACTTGTAGTTGATTCAGATCCAGATAATGGATATTTCCTCGGACGACCTCTACCTCTTTTGACTGGTGTATTTTGTTCTACCTGTTTATTTGAATCTTCTACTACAGGGTTTAGAGTCCTATTACTACTCTGCGTTTCAAGTAGTTCTGCTGCTTTAACCAAATTATCGATGGCAGATATCGGGTCAGAATGAACTACAAAGGGTTCACTACTATTGCTAAATTCAGTTTTAGACTTAGTTACACTATCTTCGGATTTAGGCTTATCCCCTTCAAAGCTGCGGTTAAGAAGATATGATTTCTTTGGCACAACTGCTTTGGATTTCTTATCGGATTTATCGTCTATTCGACGTTTCTTCTTGGGTGAGCTTGATATTCCTAAATCATTAGGTTCAATCAGCTCCATCTCAGGAGTCTCAACAGGAGTGAGAACTTGTTTTCTCTGATGCTTACTTTTAGTTTTGTTATCCTGTCCTTTATTATAGGTCTCTAGTATATCAGAATCCACAGACTCGGAAGCACTGTGGACACTGTCATTTGTGTTTTTCAGTGGAGATACTTCTCGTCCCTGAACATTCAGCTCAGTCGGAACAAAATCATTGGACGAGTCTAAACCTACAACTTTCTCAGGTTTGTCTTCTATTATGGATATAGGTCCTTGCTGCCGCTTCGCGGTCAAGGCGGATTGATACGCAATTTGAACTTTGGATTGGTAATTCTTGCTTGCTGCATCTTCTTTCATAGACTTCGTGATAGTCGGAATTTTACTTGTATGATTGTGATAACGCATTGACTGCTGTTTGTGAGTAGATTTAGCCTTTGACTCTGCAAGCATCATTTCATTTCGTGATAATTTTTTAACTGGTATGTCTTTTGTAACAATATTTGTTATAACAGTATGCGGTTCCGTTCTATCGAAGTTTACCGTAAGGCAGTTCTCATACGTCACGGAATTTCGCCTAGCAAACTTATCAAACTCTTTTTCAGTTATAATAGATTCTTTTACGGTTCCCATACTCCCGCTCGCGGCTGTTTCTGGGATAGTCTTATCCTTGTTAGAAATGGCGATATCGCCAGTAATTGGCTCGTGCTCAATTATTTCTTCATCTGATACGCTTGCTTTTTCACTGTCTTTGACGATTTGATGTTGTTTATTTAAAATATTTACTCCGTTTTCAGTTTGAGTCATTTTTAAATTACTATTATCACTAATTTTAGATTCTAGCGCGGGCAACTCGTGGGCAGGTCGCTCTACGAACGGTATACCATGTAGTTCGTTCATTTTGCGTTCGATATCATCAAGTGTGACCCTATTATATAAGTTTTTATTTGTCTCCTTTGCATTAGGCTCATTTGGTTTATCTTCTTGTCCAATTTTAACTGGTAGAGCACGGTTTATTATACCTTCAATTGTTTTATCTATAAGATCTTGATTGTTGATTTCTTTTCTTTGTCGTATTTGATTAATGGATGCTGGGTCTTGTTTAGATTGGGACAGTACTGTAACTTGCTTTGCATTTGTATTGACTTTCAAACACACGTCTTCATTTTTTATGGACTTTAAAGGTTCACTTGTAACAGGGTCTATGTTATTAGAACTACTTTTAAATGCTACTGTGTTGGTTTTAACAATAACTTTATTGCTTTCATTACTTTCTTGATATTTTGCTGTTATTATATTATTTGACTGACGTTGACTATCTATTTTCTTTAGAACATCTCTTCTATTAAGATCATTAGGCTGCTTTATTTGCTTTGCATTTGAATTATTAGTAGTCACCTTCGTTTCTTTTATTTTATTTAGAAATTCTTGTCTATTCGCTTCAGTCCATTTTCCAAAAGGCACTGCAGGTCCAACTTTACTAGTAACAGTTTTATCATCTGCACATTTTACTTTTTCTGGATTTTTTTTCTCTACAATAGGAACCTTATTTGACGAAACAGGTTTAACGACTGGGTTTGGTGGTTTTAACATGCGTACTTGGCCACCCTTTTCTTTACGTACGTCTTCTTTTACTTCACTTGAAGTCTTCAAACTAATCGGTTTTTCATTTTTGTTACTTACAGGTACATTATTGTCACTTATTGGCTTAGACAGAGACATCATACTTTCAACCTTATTGAACAATTCTAGATTTTTTGCTACAATGTTAAAATCATCCTGTTTGTTGTGATTAACTAATTCTTTCTTTTCACAGGCAGATTGGGAAACTGTAGATATTGTTGTATTTGGATTTTCAGTTGGGTTACTATCAGCACTATTTTCCACCTTAGCTGCACCCAGGTCATGTTTTATATCAACTTTTTCATCATTATATGTAACAACTTTATCATCAACATTTGTATCAACTCTGTCATCATTATTTTTTTGTTCTTTTGCTAGATTACCCGCTGTTAATTGTTCTTCCTTACAATGCAAAATTTCATTAGTTTTTGGTGTCTCCTTGATTTCTTCCACTTTATTGCCTTTTACTTCCTGCAATTCTTTCACATCACTTATAATTCTGATTGGACCTAATTTATTTTCTTTAAATTTTTGTGGTGATTCCACTGTGCATTGCTCTGACTCACAGTTGTTCTGTTTAAGTGTTGGTTCAACAGCAACAATTTTATCTTGTTCTAATTCGCTCTCCTTTGCCTCACCCGATTTTTCAATGCTACTTTCACAAGGTTCTACAATGATACCTGAATCTGAACATTTTTCTACGTCCTTCTTTTTTGAATAGTTAGACGCTAAATTATCGCATTTATCGTAGCTTTCATCAAACTCATCTGCAATAAAGGCATCCTCGGCGATTACCAACTTATCATCACAATCTGTTTCGGTATTATCTGATATTTCTTCTACATCTGTGCATTTAGTTTCTTTATTATCTAAACATTGTAAATTTTCAGTTAAAATAAAAGGTAGTATTTTGCGATCAGTGCTTACTTCATTTTTAATGGGTTCTTCTTGTGCTGAGATATTATTTATCACATTTGAAGCATTATTTTCTTTTGTTCCTAAGTCAATAGTTGTAATAGTTGTTTTATTATCTTTTATATCAGTAACTGTCAAAGGAGGATCAACATTTTGTAGTTCTGTGCCTAATTTATTCTCATCAAAAGATTTCAAATTATCAGACACAGTATTTACAGTCTCTGCAATATCAGTATCTGCAATGTCAACTCTAGTGTCATTTTCTTTACTTTTTATGCTATCAGACAACTTTTGTTTACTACTTTCAGTGTGAACTTCAATAGTTTTCTTTACATTATCTGAATGTCTATTTGGTTGAAAGTGTTGATCCACCATGATTTTTGTTAATGGTCTGCCTTCTTTATTAGGAGTTGAATGAAATGTCATTGGAGTAAAAGTGCCAATTACAGGTGATTTACGAGACTCACTGAATTTCATAGTTTTACCGTTTACATTTAGTTCCGATTTTATGTCTTGTACATCTTTAATTGACTTTTCTCCTTCTCTACTTTCTGTATTCTTTATACATAAATCATTTTGTAAAGGTAGTTTGATGTTTTCTTTAACGTTATTGCTGCAGGGTTCACTGATTATCTTATCGCTGTCCTTAGTGGGTATTATTGAGTTGACTCCACTTGAAACATCTTCTTTGGAAGGCTGAAAGTAGTAATAAAAGATTATTGAAACATAATATAATTAACATTTTTCTATTGTCAATGTTAAGATATAATAACAACATTAAAGAACAACACTTGTAATAATCATATTGAAAAAATGGGAAGAGATTTGACAAAATTTAGACCACACACAATGCATGCTTTGGAATTTAAGAAAAAATACTTACAGCATCTTTAGGTACTTCAATTTCAATTTCCTCATAAACTTCCAGGTTTCCTTCAGCATTTTCCCTAAAAATATACAGCAAATTGTTGAAGTCATTATACAACAATATATCACAAGATTATAAAATTAACCAGTAAACAAAACTATTTTTATAAGCTATTGCCCATTTCTACACTTTTAGAAATGACCTTTTAATTTATATAAATTTACCTCTTAATAATGATGAATATAAAAGTTATGGTATCATTTTAAGCATATAAAACAAAAAACACATATATGCGGTTTTATTGCAAATATAATGCACGATATATTAACATTCAAACACAATATAAACTAGGTACTAAGCAAACATCCAATTAAGCACTCTAGACAATACTCACCGCACTTTGAGAAATTTGAAACTTGGCTGATGCTGGTCATCATCTATTATTTGCACAGCAGCCAACTCTTCTTCACCTGTCTTTCTATATAAATATAGTCCATTGCCAATATCAATTGCATCCACATTTTTTCCATCGATTTGAAGAACTACCTCTGTCTCTTTACTTGGTATAGCATCTGTTACATCAGAAACGCCTATCACTTCATCCCCCTTTTGTGTGATATCGCCATCATCATCAACTCTCGTATCTTTACCGTCATTTATAGCGTTATCGTCAATAACTAATTCGTCACCATCATATGAATTATCATCAAATATATTTACACCACCGGATAAAATATTCGCTGCCTCGATTTGTTTTCCGATCTTAAAACTTTCTATATCGCTGGTTTTCTGTATTGGCGATAAGTTCGATATTAAGTTTGACTCATTAAGACTGCCATCTGCGTTGGAGGTCGACGAACCTTCCTTCGTCGGAGACACGATAAACGTGGAGTCTTCTTCAGTTAATGAGTAGAATTTCGACGAGCTTTCGTCCGCAGTTATATACGCTTCGCTTGGCGGCGACGATGTATCTAGGGTAAAATCTTTTGTGCGATCTACTTCGCCTCGTATTTTTTGCAGTCTATCCATCACCGTTCATCTGATGGACTTGAGCACACTCACTGATGTAAAAATTGATACGAGCACATAAAAACACTACACGGCGGGCTTTGAAAACATTTCGATGAACCAATTAGCACCTAGGTCAATAGCAGTGAATTACAAGTGAAACTTTCTTGTTGAATGCAAAAACTGAAAATTACATTAAACTGCCATTTAACTCATAGACCATCCAGCTAACATAATTCGATACATTTGAAGAATTAAAAAACAAGTCAAAATTATAATGTCTCAGAAACAAGAAAATAAATAGCCTGTATTTAACAACACATCAACCTATTAGAGAATAAAGATGGACGTCGTGACTTAAGTGTTGCACTGTGTACTGTAATGATAATAGATAAAAAATACCGGTTTAATGATACAGATTAAACTTTTAAATAAAATCATTACCGTAGAATAATATAGCATTGTATTATATTTCTTTATTATGACTTTGACTTTTTCAATATTTACATTATCTTATATAAACATATTAAAATATTTTCTAAAATATTCCAATATTTTCGTTTACACACCAGTCCTTAATATGATTTTAGTATTCTACATCACAATTAAATTCTCCTTTTTTTTCTTTAATGCTAGAATTGTGACAGCTGAAAGTTTCGTAGTGTAAAGATGCTTGTAAATTCTGTCAAGTGTCAACTTTCATTATGTATTTGAAATTATCGTTATTTGAATTCGTTAACCAACGCAAACATTCAATGAATACGAACTTTATAATTAAACAATTTAAAATATTAATTACATTATCTTACTTTCGCTTGGAAGTCATTCCATTAGCGCGAAAGCTATCCAGACCTTTCGGAAACATTATTTAAAAGTACAAAATACATTATTATACATTTTGATAACAACTAATATTTTTCTAGTTTTGTTTATAAAATGGCTCCATGTGACCCTAATAAGGTGATAAAAAGAACTGCAAAACATGAACAAAAACAGTATGGTACCCTTAAAAAGATAGCTGCGAATGGAAAGCCAGAGGAAAAAACAATGAAGACACCATTAAAAGGTAATTTTCGATTATATTTATTCTTACATTTTAAATCTTTATTAATCAGTTTAGTTGATTTGGTACTAAGGAGTCAGTAAGGAGTAAGGTGTCAGTAGTATCTATGCATATGTACGGTTACACAAGAGTAGTTGGTGATTTACTTTGTTAATTGAACATTGCCACTATTGTGAAAAGACTAATACTCTATTTCCGTTTCCAGTTGTCGATTCAAATTTGAAGCCAGCTATGAATGGAGCTGTACCCAAGCCTACAACTAGAGTAATAAAGAGTCCTAAAACTGTTAAAAAGGTAACGCTGAAAAGGTGTTCCATAGCACCCTCTCCGCTACCAAGTATTAAAAAAAAGCCTGATAACAGTGCTCAGAAGCTTTCTTTGAAGAGACGACAACTGCCAGCTCATTCTGGTGTCCCAGTGCCAGATAAAATGAAGAATCTGAAATTACAATTACTAGATATTGACTTTTATAACTAAAATTTGCCATTACTTACTTGCTAGACCATTAAAAATATTTGTACAAATAGCGATAGTATATGACTGTTATGAGCAATATTCAAATGTTCCATATAAGTGTTTCTGACAAATGTTATTCACAAGCTATGACTATGTATGAAGGTCTTCGGTCTTTTAGTTCTTACAGATAATTATTTTTATTGTACCTACACATGATTTTGTTTTGATTAAAACTAAAACATGAGAAATTGTATGAACCTTGTACAGCCATCTTGTAAAGCTTTTTGGGATTTTAGGCTGTTTGGCCGTTAAAATAACATTGTTCTCGCTATATGAGAGAATAGAGTTGAGATTTTGCCTGTTTATTGTTAGAAAAATACAAATATCTGAAGAGCTTTTGAAATATAAAAAAAAATTAACACTATTATAATTTACCTACTAACAATAATGAACAAGCAATAAACATAATATCAAATGTATTTGTATTTTGTAGGATATTAAAGAGTTTTATGCAATAATTGAATATTTTAGTTGATTAAATATTGTAATTGCATACATTAATCTGACATTGTTTGCGTTAGATTAAATACAAAAAATACTTCATAATATATAGTTTAACTTATAACGGTTTAAAATTGTATATAATGCTGCAGAACATAAGAAACGCTGGGGCAAAGATAAAATAAGTTAACTAATATATTTCGCGTTTTAAACCGTAACATACAGACGATACCTTATTATCTTGGTTTATAATTTTCAGAGCAAAAAATAAATATAAATACTGAGACAATTTAAGATATAATTTTTGAGCTAATACAATGATAATTTCGAGAAGGTTCCATTAAATCAAGTTATTGATAAACGATACCAATTGCATCTAACGACCAGACCGCTGACATTACCCTCCTCTTAATCTTCGTAACCGGTTAAAGCATCCAACGTTTTAGTGCTAAACACAGTAGTTAAGCTCCGCCCATTACCAAACGTCACCTCATCTAACAAACAATGAAGCAGATTATACAATCCATTATCAAATAAGTTAGCCCAAACATGATTTATGGTCACCAAGCTCCGCCTGTCCCGTGTGATCGATGTTATTTGTCGGAAAACTGGACTTGAATTTTAATTTGTAACGCGGTTGGTCTAAATCAGAAGAGAAGCGTTATAACTGAATATGCCACCCGCAATCCGCATATAACTGACTAGCTGTGTGAGCGGCTTCTTCCGCGTAGAAGAGTTAATTTGGGTCTGTAAACCTCCTATATATTTATAAACTATAGCTGTTACCCAGGACGTCGGCTGCGTCCACCGTTCTTGCATGTTCAATTTGAGTTTTTGTAGATCATTTAATGGAGGATAATTTTTTCATACATACATACTTTTTGGGTGTCATTTACCGTTATTTTTAGCGCACGAAAAGGAAATCCTCAAAGATGAATGATTTTCACCGATTCTATCACATTTCTCCGTATTTCTTCGCTCCTATTAGTACCAGCTTGATGTTTTATGGTTTTAAAGCCTTCCTCGATCAATGTTCCAACTATCACAAAAACTATTTTCAAATTCGAACCAGTAGTTCCTGAGATTAGCGCGTTTAAACAAATAAACTCCTCTTTATAATATTAGTATAGATATGCAAATCAAACCTTAAATGGACCAGTAAACTAAAATGTATATTTGTGTTCTTAGACGTAGACCATCCTACGGGAATATGACGACTTCTGGGATGAAAAATAATATAATCTTGAACGTTTACCTAGATGCAATGATACCAAATTATATGACAATCGGTTAAGCCGTTTAGATGTACGTAAAACGGAAAGGATAGGAAAATAGTATGAATTCCCCGTACCTTGAGGCAATTTATAATAAAAAATTTAGTACGGTCAAATTTGAAATATTTATATTTAAAAATAATAATACACATTATCAATAGTCTTATATTAACCTTATCAATATACATATGTGAGCTATGCTTCTTCTTGTAGCTTGAACCACACTAATAGAGCAAAATTTAAACGTATTGTATGAAAATTTATCTACGCGCTGTGTTTTACGATATTTTTTGTTTGGCAAACTTTATAAGCTCAGAGCAATCTTAAAAACATACAATTTAGTACCAAGAAACTTTGAAGAGAAATTTAGGATAGATAAGATACTTACTTCTAATCTATACTTAGGTATATATACATCTAATCTATCTATACTAATATTATAAAGCTGTAGAGTTTGTCTGTTTGAACGCGATAATCTCGGGGATACTGGTTCGGATGGAAAAAATTATTTTTGTGTTACTTAGAGCATTTATCGAGGAAGGCTTAAGGGTATAAAAATCAGGCTGCGACTATATATGAGCGAAGAAACAGTGGGAAATTTGGAAACGAGGAAAATTAAACCTCTTTAAACGATCTAAAAAAAATGTCCGCAACAGTATGTCTATCTTTCAAGATTAACTTGCAAGAATGTAAGACGCGGACGACGTCGTGGGTAACAGCTACAATATTAAAGATGAAGATGTTTGCAAAAACAAATTTTGATGCACAAAATAACTATAATACGCGGATGACGTTGCGATCACAGCTAGTAGAATATAAAAAGCGCGAAATTATCACTTAAAATATTTTTTTTTTCTTTGCGACACATACATTAGTAAAATGGTGTAAAACACGTTTTAAACATCGTAAGTATTTAATTTTTAATCAGTGTATTACTTCATATTTTATATTATAGTAAAAAGTATAGGATTAGCACGTCTATGCAATAATTATTACACCCTGTAGCAATTAAGTTAATGCAATAAAAACCAATATAAATCCATACTCAGCCCAGAGTATTGAACTATTGAACGTGGCGCGTTTTTTACCATTTAAATATAAGTACCATCTACACTTTTTGTTGGCCACCTACATAATATTTGAGCACTAGTGAATAATTAATCGCATGTGATGTAATAGTATTGGACTGTAGATAACACGTTTTAAATAATCGTATAAGTAACACAAAGATCTTATACAAGAGAATACATTTTCTTAGCAACAAAATTTATTATAGGGCCAAATTCGGAATCAGACTTTTTTAAAACACGTGAATATATTCAAGGATGAAAACGTACATATTTTTACCGCGTGTCAGGCTCAAAAAGAGATTTATAACTAACAGATATTGAGACATAAGTTTCCTAAACTCCACTAATAACGAAAGCGCCTAAAAATATTTAATAATAAATTTCATATTCCAATAAATCAACATATAAATTGTTCGTGCAACTGCGCAGCACAAAAAACCACATCTATATAGATCTTCAGTATATATTGGGAGCCCTTTATTTTATATTTTGATAGTAATCAATGGGGATGTTTAAAAAATAAATTAGCTAGCCAAATAATTATATCATTCAGCAATGTTATCATGTATTGTTCAGCCCATTGGGCTCTTGCGTTAACCCGTTGCATGCGATCGGGAAATTATAGGTTCAATATAAGTGTTTTGGCAAAAGGAAACTAAACGATGGATCGAATTATATAATTGAAATGATATTGTTAAATGACTTATATTATTTTCATGTTTTGTACCTTACCTATAAAACAAAAAAAAGCCATCGAATTTTTCCTCAATTAATCAATGTTAATCAAATGTCATTATATAAATTATCAAACTTTACACAATAATTAAGCCCCTAAGCTCATGTGATCTGATTTATTAATTTACACAAATTTATAGAGTTTCCCTAGACATAAACAAATTTCAGATTTCACATTTTATTTTAGATTTCGAGATGTGTTTGTTTCTATGTTTTTCTGCAAGTTTACAGTTGACAGTTTAATTTCTTTTATTAAAATACCTAAGTTTTAACAAAATCATATTATCACATATATATTGCCTATATATATTTTTAGTAGTAACAATATTTATTATTATTTTGTGTATTATAGTTCCTCAATAGATTATTTTAAGAGTAATTGCTGGACGATTTAATCCCCCGATTGACCATTTAAGGGTTAGTTCACAGGCGTGACGTGTTAGTCCATTCAAATCGCTCAACTCGAGATTTTCTTGTGTAGTATATAAACTGCTGCCTGTAAGAAAGGAAGCATCAAGTGTTCATACATTCAATTAATACTAATTTAATAGTTTCAAGAAATTACAATGAATTCTGTGCTATTATCCCTCTTTGCGCTAATGGCCGTCCAGGGTAAGATTTCTCCTATTCACTCATCTTATAAATTTTTAATTTTTAAATCAGAATAAAAAGGTTTAACATCTTTGGCTAAAATTTTTAAACAATAATTAATATTTTTAATAGCTTTAAGATGTAATCTCGCTGAGCTAATATCTCCTGGACTTGGAGCTTTAAAATTTTTAAAATATTGCAAAATTTTATGTTTTCTAAAAAGAATACCTTTTAATATATATATTATCCTTTTAATATTTATATTCCCCTTAAAACGCGCAACAAAGATACAAGATACATTGTATTTTTGAATTTTTTAATTAAAGGATAACGAATTGGAGCATAAAATCAGATAAAGCGTGACGTATATAATTTCGATCGTAAATGAAAAATGAATAGAATATTATAATTGCAAAAGTGCAAATCAAATAAGCAGATTGAACATGGCACGCGAAATATGCAGCGTACGATTCACACATTCGATAAACATCCGATGAACAATTAAACGACTGCAACTGATATTTAAAAGATGGAAAATAATTTACTTTCTTTAATCTAAACCTTTAGCTATCCAATTTTATTGGCCAAGATTGTATTCCTTAATAAAAGGAAGTAGGAACACAATTCGAAATAGACACGCAAAATACAAAAACGTCTTCAATGATTTTTTTATAATTAAAATATAAAATTTGCGACATTTTATAAATTGTAACGTGCTTAGAGATAGAGAAAAAAATGGAGATTGAGGAAGGCCAAAAATTATTATATCTATAACCGATGGATTAATAAGTATATTTACAAAATGTTAATGGTTTAAGAAAATAGTCGTTATAATCTTGACCTTAAATCAGCATTTAATTTGCAAAGAGGTCGCATTTATTTGTACTATTCATACAAATGCATATCGCACGCACATAGTAAGTTAAAGAATACGATGATGGTTACGAAATTCAACGTTTGTGTTATTGCAAAACGTTAGTTTTCCAAAAACCTTATCTAAGTATTATTTATATTTCTATATACACCATTTTTAGTGGGAAAGTACATTCATGTACAAAAAAATGTCCATATAAACATATATATTTGCTATAACTTCCTCACCCGCAGATAATTACAGTATAATATCATATACTTAGTCCTACTCTGAAGTTTGTTGTGTGCCGGGGCAGTGGGTTCGGTTTCCCAGAAAACTATATTTTACGGCAATCTCTATCTCTGTGTGTGAGAACTTATACAAGTTAAGTTAAACATTTAGATAAATGCCCAATTTTTGTTGCTATATATTCTTATCACGTTTCCGTAAAATTCAGACTAAAGGATTATTGGTTTAAATGAAAAATTATACCCTAACTTAAAATGATTATTTTATGTCACGGCATTTTTGTTCCACAGCTTACGTTTGTCGTCCATAAAGTCGTTTCGTATCATATTTTTATAATAAATTAAACTAAATACTGCTTAGGCCAAAGCAAATATATTATCTAAGCACAATCAATTATCCCTTGTTAAACCTAAATTTATTGTCTTTTAATATATTGCCGTCAAATTAAAATATATTTAAAAGTCCGTACACGTTGCGTATTTTGGTACCTACGAGTGAAGTAATTGAAATGCACTCGCCGTAAAATTCAACTGAATCAAATTTACTTCTTTAGATTAAAGTACAATATATAATAAAAAAGGAAATGGTTTATTCTAGTCAAACGTGTTATTTTAATAGTATGTGGACCAAGATGTGCCCACCAGGTCGTCCGCTTGGAATAGTTATTTTGGGCTTCATTTTTTTTTTTAGCAACCTACTCTTCTGGCGAGTTAATCTTAAAAGATAGACATACACCGTCGCAAACTTTTTTTAGATAATTCAAAGAGAATATATATTTAATACATATTTTTGAGCTCTTGATCCGTTCTCGCAGTGAACGCAAAGTGAAACCCTCAAAACAATGTTTTTCCCGGTTTTTTCACATTTCCGACTGTTTCGTGCTGCTCGGAATGATCCTATTAGTCGCAATATCACGTTGTAGCCTAAAGTCTTTCTCGATAAATGCTGTAACCTACACAAAGACAATCTTTCAATTGAAACAAGTAGTTCCTGAGATCAGCGCGTTTAAACAAACAACCTCTTCACCTTTATAATATTAGTATAGATACTGAAACGAACTACTTAGGACCTAGGTATTTTATGGTGTTAGTTAAGATTTCATTTACAAGCGAAATCATTGCATTCCATTTGATTGATGTCCTCTGTGTCAAGAAAGAGAATAAGTTGTAATAAACAGCGTATTATATGTTTTGATTTTACAATTTTATAGTTATACGTGCTTTCTTTAAATTAGTACATTTTATGACAGCCATAAAACAATTTCGTCTGGAATACAAATGAGTGGTGCTTATTGAATAACAAATGGCGCCTAACGATTTCGGAGGCGATACAATCCGTACATAGCTAATGGTATAAGTAATCAATTTACATAAAATGGTTGAGATTAATGTTCGATCTGCTGAGACAAACTTATATGGCAATCGTTTACATTTAAGTACGCACCGACAGTTTCGTACTCAGCAATTACTATTTCCCCTACGTGTGGCAGACACACTTCTGTGTATGCTATACTGATAAATTCTATTTACTAGTAGTTAATCACTTGTGTCCTGTCAAACCTAAACTTTTCGTTTTATTCCGAAAATACAGGAATCGAATTCGACACTTAGGGCTAATCTTATTTTTTACAAAGGCAGTCTTAATTTCTTAGATTATAATAGACATGGAAAGAAACAAATATTCTTTGCATATAACAATTTCTTATTGGAACATATGGGTCGAGTTATATTATCTTAATATTTTTGAGTGCAATAGCAACCATTTTAGTTAATTAAGCATGCAAAAAAGATATTGCATCGTTGCATACATGTATTATACAAGACCATAACCCCATTTAGGGTCGAAGCGTCTAAACCGAAAACCTCATTAAAATTATCTTATCTCAAACAAACAAAACACCATATATAAAATACTGTCGATCTCAATTTAAAGTAATGCTCCTTTTTGAATTCTTCTCAGTGTCTATGGTATTCGGTTGGGGTTATCGAGCCTCTGACCAGAGACGATGGGCTGTGCTGCATCCAGCTTGTGGGGGACGCCAGCAGTCGCCGATAGCTATATCGGCTCGCCAAGCCATCCCGATTTCGATCCCAGCTATGGAGCTTATCGGTTATCAAAACCCCCTACCGGGACCTTTGACTATAACTAACAATGGACATTCTGGTTAGTATTAAGTCATCTCGCAACTACGAAGAATTTTTTTTATTAAACCTCGATCCCTAAGTTATTTTGTCTTTTTGAATATGCAAATTTCCTGTGAGGAAACCGGTATGTTTAAATAAAAAATGGACGAAATGTTCCCGTGGTAGAAGTTGTATACTCTTATAGAAGGTTCGTGTAATGGTTAATGATAATAATTGACTCCTCACGCTAAATATTCCGTTACAGTTGCCCTAACTATCCCAAAATATTCATCGGAAGAAGAAAAGAAGGGTTTCCGTTTGCCCTACATTTTCGGTGGACCACTAGACAACGAATACGAAATTGAGGGTCTTCACTTCCACTGGGGAGACAAGAACAACCGTGGTTCGGAACACACTCTTAACGATATGCGTTTGCCTCTCGAGATGCATATCATCCACAGAAACAAAAAGTACAGAAGTCTCACGGAAGCTCTACAGCACCCAGATGGTCTTTGCGTACTTGCCTTCTTCTACCAGGTTAGACATTTTACTCAATTCAATACAAACTGTGACAAAACGACCTTATTGATATATATCACCGAACGATAACAACTAAAAGATATGTTGAAAACAATATGAAAATTGCTTTATATTATAGTTACACCTTGAGGATGGTAGACACTAGTTTCTCAAGAGTTCTTTGTTCTCAGGTTGTCGAATTCGACGCTAAACTACTGACACCAATTGTTAAGAACTTATCCACCATCGAGAACTACAATACCAGCATGCAGCTTCCCCACACTTTCTCTTTGTCTTCAATCCTGTCTGGTCTGGACACCGAACGCTTCTACACTTATAAGGGATCCCTGACCACCCCACCTTGCGCTGAAGCTGTCACATGGGTCGTTTTCTCTGACTACCTCCCGATTTCTGTGTTTCAGGTACATTTTTTTATATAAAGTTAAAACTCGACACTAACGTTGAGTCTACCATTGAATGGTGGGATGGACCAAGTACAATAAAATCACTTACTAATTATAAAATGATGACATTTCACATTCCGACTTGCTACAGTATATACGCTTTTTTCTGTTCTAAAATAATTACATTTTTACACACTTTACTAACTATACCCTGGTTTACTTCTCGCTTCTAGATGGACAACTTCCGCGGCCTCCTGTCCAACCTGAACTTGCCGCTCGTTGACAACTTTAGACAGCTCCAACCTCTGTTTGGTCGACGAGTCTTCGTCCGCATCACATCAAAGAACCCCAAATTCAAGAAGACTAAGCTCCACTACTCCAAATGGGATTGGGTTGGCCACAAGAAGGCCGAAAATGACGTCAACGAATTCGACGACTAATCACCCAAAATCAGTTAATTCAAACACTCTCTAACATTTGTTTACTTTTTATACGTGATTATCAAAGTTGTGTGCACTGTATCATATTGTATGTGCTGTCAGTATTATAGGTTATGTAAATAAATACTTAAATACATATGATATTTTTTATTCAAAACATTAATATACAGAAATAAAAAGAAGAATTAAGTAGTGTAGTTCTCAGCTCCGAACATAGACTGGAAAGTAAATAATAATATTAATAATATAATAGGCTAACAAGGTATATCCTCAGATTAAAAATGCATGCCATGCACACACGAGGTAAAAATAAAACGCAATTCAATTGTTCATATACTATAATAAAATTTCAACAATCTATACAATGTTAATTATTTAATGTAATAATACTCAGGGCATTGCATCGTAAAAATAAATCTGATTTCAAAATTAAACATTCGGAATGTATTAACACAATGGATGAGTTCAAAACCTTTGCACGAAGGATTAAATGCGTAGATTAACTGTTAGTAAATGTTGCCAGTTTTAGTGTAACAAGTTACTGGCATATCTAGTCTGTTTCGCGCCAGACACACCATGCAAAACGGTTAGTTACTTAGCGTACCAGGTCGTCGGGGTTGAACATTCCCTGAAAAAAAAATAATACACTTTCATTATATTTTCATTCATTCTTCATAGATTATATTTTTATAAGGCATAAAAGTGATCTATAGAATTAAAAAAAACTGTAAATATTGCATAAATATAATGAGATAAAAATCTTAATAAATGAGTTTCATTATTAAACGCTTACAAAGAACCTATATCACGCACTCACAAACAAAGGCGAAGTTATTAAATTGCGTACGAAAATACCGTTTGTCATCTCGTCAATTTATAAAACAATGATTATTATATCAACACACTCTGGAAATTAAAACATTCCATTAAGAGTGATTATCAATAACATATCGTCCTATACTTTATTATTATTTAGATACGAAATGTATGTATGTAGCTCTTTATCACCTAAATAGTTCGCTTATAACTCGATATCGTATCGTAATTATAAATTCTTTTACCACAAGATGTATCTCAAATGTACTAAACTTGGTAGGAAACAGTTCTGCTGTACTTCAAGTAGATACATGTAAGATGACATAAATTTTGACTTATTTTATAACAAAAGAGAGTGGAAAACTTAATATTAGCCAGACTTATGAACAGATACAATTATTTTATATTCGTTATAAAACATGCAGCGTATTTTATGAAGAATAAATGCTAAGTAATGCAAACAAATAATAAGCATAAACACTCGTCTAATTGTTTCACGTAAAACAGGATATATCTATTCGAAATATAAGCAATTATCCATTAACAATTCGCACGTGAACTTTTGTATTTAATCAGAATATAACGTCATCTCGTTTCATCAACCAATAAACTACGTGTTTGTGCGAGACGAAAGTTATACACGTTATTGTTAGTGTATAGTATTAGTATATTGTAATTGTAATAATTGTTGTGTCTTTGATTCTATACATAGTAATAAACATAGGAAGCACATGTTTTGAGATAAAAGATGGCCATTTAATGACTGACTAGAGGTAGCTGCAGTCTACTCTCTAATCAGTCAGCAGTATACTTTCTATGTGATTCGGTGAACTTAGCAGAATGCTAAAGAAAATATAGCATTTGAGCCATTTGATAAACAGCCAACATTTTTTCATTTTTTTCTTTATTTCCATATTGCAAAAAATAACTATATGTTATGTGTGATTGGCTATATGAATTTTCTATTGTTAGGTTACAAACATTGAATCCTAACACAATAAACTTTTCATTTGCTGATTAAAAGACATTTCATTAATGTTATCTATACTGCATATCAGAAACAAATTGAATTTTTTTTTATTTTTTATTAAATTATCTAAAACTAAGTGTTGAAGATATAGAAAGATCAGATGGTGATATAGAAGATAAGTATTTTAACTTATTTTTAACTTATATCCATGTAAGTACATGGATATAAAGATTAAGTTATAATATTCTTTGCCCCAATCTCCAAATTATTTTAAGACTATTATTTTTCTCCCGTGTACTGTTTAAACACTATTGGGGTGTATATAAAAACAGAAAACATAATATTAAATTTCACTTTTCTAGGCTTATGAATAATTTAATTTATTTAAAAAATTACAAATTAACAATGTACCTTAGCGCGACGTAAAATAGAGTCTTTGCTGGCATCATAGGGATGATCCTTAGATGGAATCTCAAGGACAGCTGGTACAGGGGCCATGTGGGCATCTATTACATGTCGGATTAACTCGGCAATGTTCTGGTTGATGAGGACAATGTCGATGTCATCCCGTTTTGTGAATCTTTTGAAACAGTCCTCAATTTCACTGACTGGAGTATCTGTAAGATTATCATAAATTTCAGGTATAAGATTGCCAATAAATACTACACCAGAATTTGGAAGAGGAACAGCTGAACAGAATAGAATTAAATACATTTTTGACAACATATCTGTATTATAATATGGTACATTGTTCAGTAATTTATTACTTTGAAAAGGAAACATGGTTTGGTCAGTTCAGTGTCCTTAAAATACTTCTATTAAAGAATAATTGGTAAATGTTCTCATGCAGTGCAATATGTTTGTTTTAGTTAATTATTTAAACAATAAAGACTTCTACTGACTTTTATCCACCACCATGAAGTTTGGGTGTCTATTTTTGTTTATTTCTCCAATTCCTCCAAGGAGAAATCCAACGCAAGTATCCTGAAAGAATGATTAAAATATAAAGGTGCGACATTTCAAAAACCGTGTCTTAAACAACTATGTAGATGTGATATAATGGTAAATATTACCTCATCTCCGATAACACTGATCAATTTTCCTTTAACAGCAGCTTGCAGAGCCATATTTAGGGATTTAATTTATTTTTTTGGGAAAATTATTGAAATCAAGAACTGTCACACCAAATTCATCACCTGACTAATATTTTTGTCTATGTTGGTCACGGACATGACAGATAGTCTATGTATGGATAATCGGATAGTCGTGCATATTCTACGCATAAACGTACCTTATTTTACAATTTATTATAACCTAGTCTGTAGTATTATTTTAAATGACTTTTCTATATCAGCTCTGACAGTGACATAAACATCTTAAAGTTCTGTCACATTCACAATATTTCTGTTTGTTATGCTTGTTGCTAACTTGTGTTAAAAATGTGCTGATTAAAGAGAAATATAAAATTTTTACGCATCTTAAAAGTTAAAACATAGATATTTAAGCTTAATGTGTAAATATTAACGGACAATCATGTTAAACATTCAAAACTACGGTAGTAGCTCTGAAGACGACGAAATTGACTCAGATGTTGTACAACAACATAGCAATGAAAAGTTATTGAGTCACTTAAAGCCTGTTGATTCGACTTTATCTCTAGCTAAGAAGATGCAAGTGTGTGCTGCTCCCGTTGTTATGCCCACGGTATAGATGTCTACTAAATTTTCATTTATTTTGCGCAATCATGTTAAGAGATTTACCTACGTAACTTACTTTCGCAGAATAATGACGATAGCAGAGTATTAATATCAAAGAATCAAGAACTCATGCATAATCCAAAGTATGAGGAGCTTTTTGCACCCGAGTATGGTCCAGAGAATCCTTTCCAAACACAACAAATGAAGGCAAACAAAAATATGCTGTCAGGGTTCGTGGAAAAGGCACATATAAGTGAATTTCAGTTTGAAAACCAGCGAAGGACATTTACTAGTTATGGTTTTGCGGTAGATCCTTCAACTGAACCTATTAGTGATAGTGGGAAAGGTGATGGAATTGTTGGTGAGTCATAGGATCATGTTAAAATATATTTTTTTATTCTTTCTGTGCAAAGTTAAAAATATGATTTATTTGTAATGAATTTCAGTATCAGAAACTGTAGCCCCACCAGAAGATGTGGAAGGAAAGACAGTATTTGAGACTGTAAAGAAAAAAGATAAGAAGAAAAGAAACAAAAATGACAATCCTTCAGATATAGATGGTTTCCTTGGACCATGGGGTGGCTATGTTGGTGAGAAAAGGTATGTTATAAACACATGATTATAAGAAATACAAATATAAATAATCTTTAAATGTAATATCTGACAGAGCATATATAAGTGAGTTAAAAACTATAGAGGTGTGTTTCTTACTGCCATATACTATAAATTACAAATAAAATTAAAAAAATTAAATAAAATTGTTTTTAAATGACTGTAACATTATAAATTCTCAGAATTATGAAACCTGAAGGTGATGAAGCAAAGGAACTTGAAGAGATTGTGGCAAAGAGACAGAAGAAAGGAAAAGTTGACGATGACAAACCATTGGAAGAGAAATCCATATTCCACAGTAAGTTTTTTAATTTCTGCATAGGAGGTGAGAAATCTCCATAAGAAATATTGACAAGTGATCCTATATTTGCTCCTCCGTTTAACAACAAGTACTAAACATATTTTTGTATAACTTAACGGTAATAAACTACAAAGTAACACATGGGATTCAAGTAAGAAAACAATTACACAATATATGATTCAATTATTTATTGTTGATTAGAAAATTAGAAAGTAAAGAATCACACTACTAAACAAAAATACTTTTTTTATAATAGAAGAGGACAGAAAAACTTAGCGTTCACTTGATGATAGGGGTAATACCCCTTATGATATTAAACACAAAAATGAACTAAAGTAAACGCTTTTTAAAATTAAATTACATATTATTTTCCAATTTCAGTTGATAAGGCCACAGATTACCAAGGCAGGTCATGGCTCGAAGTGCCTCGTAGTGAAACTCAGCTGCGTAGTGATACACCACCTGCCAAATGCTTCCTACCCAAGGTAACATCTTTTGTATTATTTTGTTATATACTTTTCTCAGTGCCTCAAAAGATGAAGAAGGTTTTCTTTTAATCAACCATTTTTTGCTGTTAAAAGTTATGTCCCCAATTTAATTACAATTAAGTTGTACCTTAATTTCAAATAAATCACTCTCTGAAATCCGAATCCAATAAATTTCAAACATCGACTAAATAATGCATTTCTATGTTATTGACTTCCAGTCCCACATCTTCACATGGAAGGGTCACACAAAGGGCGTGGCTGCGGTCCGTTGGTTTCCCAAGACTGCACACCTCATGCTATCAGCTGGAATGGATTGCAGAGTCAAGGTGATTCATTCACTAATGTTTTAATATATTGTTTTTAAGTAATAAATACCGTTTATACAACATTTTCGCTCCATAACTAAACCAATAACCCTATCAAAATTAGAAAAAACACAACAATTGTGCTTATAAATCTTTTATTATATCCAGTTTTTCAAGAATAAAAACAGAGTATCTTGTGACTTTAGTGTCCATGTAAAAGAACAAATGTATTAAGGTTCACTTAGCTTCAAAGGGCACAATCATTTTTTTTTTATTTTTCTTTTGTTTTTCAGATATGGGAAGTGTACGGCGACCGTCGATGTGTGCGAACCTACTTCGGCCATCGGCAGGCTGTTCGAGATGTCAATTTCAATAATGCAGGATCACACTTCCTCTCTGCTGGTATGTGATATCGTGTACCTGATTTATCGTCTGGAGTTACGATGTAAACAGTTGAGCTACCGAGTCACTTTATCCTGGAATTTTTTCAAGCTATTGATTGAACCCCTTGCGCATTGTAATTTCAACCTTAAAACTTACCCATTAAGGTTCCAAACTTTGCAGATTAGGTAAATCATAAAAGATGAAATTGCACAGTTCAACCTTTGTCATCATGTGCAATAACATGTGAAAAATATTACAGTTATTGTTTCAACCTATTGATGTGTCCCACTTCTGGGCTCTCGCATTCTTCGGAATTAAAGTTTCGCATGAAGCAGGATTTGAACCTGGAATCTTCGTAACCTGGTGTCCACTAATCATTATAGTAACTAGGCAGTTGCAAGAGTCTTAGCATCTCTCTACATTGTATACTTCTTTACTATTTACATTAAATATCTCTCCTTTCACCTAATTTCCTCGTTTAAAAGGAGATAGAAATCCAATTCCTTTTCGCCTTCCCTGTCGTAAAAAAAATCAAAATGTTGACGTAACCCTTTCAGCATACGACCGTTACATAAAGCTTTGGGATACGGAGACGGGCGCGTGCGTGTCGCGTTTCACGTCCCGCAAGGTGCCCTACTGTGCCAAGTTCCATCCTGACGAAGACAAACAGCATCTGTTCGTTGCCGGGACGTCTGATAAGAAGATTATTTGCGTGAGTTATTGATATAACAATTTTAACCGACTTTAAAAGGATCTCTATTCGGTTCGTGTATTGTGTGCTTTTATGTTTGTTGGAAAGTAAATATTGCCAAAGTGGTCTCATTATAAGAAAATCAAGGTGTGATGATCACAGACTAGGGAAATCGAGAGGACTAGTGCGTTTGCATGTTTTTTTTATTGAATACTGTAAATCACTACAATTTCATAAAAATTCAGAGTGTATTTGCTGATGGTGCCGAAAGACAGTTGTAGAAACTCCTTAATGATTTACAGCAGCTACCTTGTGCTAAGCTGAAATTATTTATATCATACAGCTAGATGAGTGGTGACTATCATTAGAAGTATGATGATGAAGACGAGGGACATTTTAGGGAACTCTTTAACGGTTCACAGCAGCCTTGTGCTTGGAATGACTTTTTGAAATGTCATTCACTTATATACTTTGTACAAAGCAAATTTATTTTTTGTTTACTGTTTGACGTTGGTTATTTTAGTACACTAGATTTTATTTCTATAAAGTTTTAAAAGTTTTTGCTTTGAAAGAGTTGAGCTTACTCGGGCACGATCAAGGATCTTAAGCAAAACCTATATAAGCTGCTACTATTATACTGTGATTTGGTCTGTGCCAGGCATTGTTTTTTGTCTGTAAGTGGGAAACAACATCCCTTTCATTTTCAGTGCAATACTAACAAAATCAATCTTTTGCATAAAGTATGCCTAGCAGAGATTAAAAAACATATTTTTTCAGTGGGACACCCGCAGTGGTGAGATAGTCCAAGAATATGACCGGCATTTGGGTGCCGTCAACACGATCACCTTCGTAGATGAGAATCGACGATTCGTCACCACGTCTGATGATAAGAGTCTCAGGGTTTGGGAATGGTAGGTACCACTTATTTATATTACAACAGTAATTAATGTCATATACTTTTTCTTTGAAACTTTTTAAAAATTTTGTTTTAGCAAAGCCAAAGCAAGAAAGTTATTAATCTATTATATAAGAAGTATACATAAAAACTACCTTAGTATAGTGGTACTAAACTTAACTATAGATCGTAAGGTCCTAAGTTCGAATAATAATTAACACTTTATTGCAAAGACAAATAAAATACAAATATAGTAATACTTAATTAATTGTTTACATTAAAGAGTAAGTGCAAAGTTGGCCTTATTGCCTATGGCTATTTCTTCCAGGCAATCTTTGTATACAGAAAAGGAAAATAAAATTAACAATAAAAGAGTAAAAGCCGACAAGAATTCTAATCCCTAATATTAATCTCCCTTTTCCAGGGACATCCCGGTCGACATGAAGTACATAGCCGACCCGTCCATGCACTCTCTCCCCGCTGTGACCGTCTCGCCGAACGGCAAGTGGCTCGCCTGCCAGTCCATGGACAACAAGGTGATCGTGTTCAGCGCCCTCAACCGCTTCAAGATGAATCGGAAGAAGACCTTCACCGGGCACATGGTGGCTGGATACGCGTCCTCAGTCGACTTCTCACCAGATATGAGGTAATTTTCTTGTTTACCCAATTAATGATCTTGTCGGCCTGTTTCTGTGCATTTTATTTGCGAGCCTTGGTCTACCAGAGAGGTAGGTGGTAATACCCATTAAACGTGTTCCCCGGGCTCAAAAGTATCTAGTAGTGTATTTAGTAGTTCTGATCGGCTATTGCCTCCGAGGCGGTTGTCCGATTTACCACACTCACGTCCGACGTGCGCGTGCATTAAGCATTTACATTTGACACCATTAGTTAAAGAAAAAGTGGTGATACCCACTAAGAACTGACCGCCACATCTGCGAGAGACGTAAGTGTTAAGGTTGAAATTACATTGCGCGAGACGATGAGGTGTAGGACTCCGTAGCTCACTTTGTTAGAGCAACAGCACGGAACGCTGTGGATGTCGGTTCAAGACCTGCCCGTGTCGTAATTTTTTCAATTTTTATAGTGCCATCATGTGAAAAATATATATTTTTTCTAACAATTTATATTTTTCCGAAACATATTAGGCTTCGTCTGGAAATTTAGATATGGACTTTATATACATGTAAGTTACTACTTGCTTGTATATAAAATCGATCTGTCTATGTAGTCGAAGACTGGTCGACTTTTGACAAACTTCTGTGCTCTGTCCGACCGAAGCTATTCGGTTGTCCTATTTACTTATCATATAATTTCAAATTTTTCAAATACATAATTACTTACATTTGAGGTCACAGAATTGACAAGCTTTTTCAATTATTAAATAGTTTTTGTAATCTAATGCAAATTCGGACATTTCAAAACATCTACATTCTATGCTAATATACAAGTATCCTAATGTGGACTTTTTAAAATGACTGCAGTGTTTTTTTGTGTTTTTGATGTGTCTAGTTTTTTATTTTATCAGTATAAAAAGCTAATTTTAATATTTACTTGTTATTGCAAAGAAAAAACTGATAAATAATAAAATATTCATGGACTGCTAATGAATTTGGCGGTGTGATATTTTTTGCTACAAAATGTGACTTTTAAATAACAATTAATGTGCATATGGATGAATATATTTCAACGGTTCACTCAAAAGATAGGTATGCTTTACACAATTTCCATATAAATAATCTATAGTAACAATGCCATTTTTTTGTTATATATTAAACCAAACAGACGTTTTCTAATTAATGACTTTCTTTTCCAAAAATATATTATCTTTGTATTACGATATCGTTAAGTTTCGGTAAAAAACGGCTATAGGAACTTTACTTTGAAAATCTTTGTTAATCAGTGGTATATGGATTTGAAGAGCAAAGATTTAACTTTATTAAATTTTATTTTCGGTCGTCGCCGCCTCTGTAGCTAAATGGTTACCGTGTTGCCTAACTTTGTGTTGAGGTTCGAATCCGGGGGAAAAAGATAAAAGATTGTTTTGGTCGACCAGGCCACAGAATAGTTACAGTGTCAGTGTGTAAATAAAACCGCTCAGATAACAGACACAGAAATGAGTTCGCCCTATGGTCCAGAGGAGCGGGCTCGATGGTTTAAAGCAATAATCAGCGGGTAGCGGGTTCGATACCCTTCGAGGTCCAACATGTTCACGTTTCTAACATCTTCTTCATGTTTTTCAATTTATATTTTTCTGAAACATGTTGGACTTCGTCTGGAATAACCACAGACCACAGATGAAAAAGCCGTGAAGTTTAATCGCGTTTAGCTTACTGTCTGGAGATTTCCAATGATCCAAAGCCAAAATAGGGCGACAGTGCATCTTGTTTAGATGCTACGCTGGCTGGGGTGTATCACCTGCCATCATTTAAAAAAACGGATTTAGTCGGTAAAAACGTACTGAAACTTCACTTCGTTGTGTTTATGTCACTATGGTATTATATAAAAAAAATATTTACTTTTATTGATTACTCTGCCATTTAAATCGTGATAATGGCATAATAAATGACTTTGCGTTTATTGCCTTGTTAATATGCATCAGGTTTTATTAAAATTATACGAGCACGTGTTTCGTCTTCAAAAGAAATGTGAATCTGACATTTAAACGAATTTTTATGATTGATGGTTGGCCCAATGGTATGTAGAAATTCCAATATTCGATTAAATATCAAAAACTGTCAACGTTAGATATGTTCTTATTCCTTGTGTGGCATTATGTTTTTTTTAATTAATACTTTTAATTGCTGACATTTTTTTTGTCGCTTTTTAAATCGAGTGTATAACTAACATGATAAAGTTGAAGAGTTTGTTTGAACGCTCTAAACTCAGAAGCTACTGGTGCGAATTGAAAACTTATTTATGTGTTGGTTGGACCCTTTATCGAGGAAGGCTTCAGGCTGGTTTCGATCTTTGAGGACTTACATTGCGTGCGCTGCGAAAACAATTCAAGAAACCAAAAAACTGCAGTCTTTGAGTAAAGTGATATTTTCGATGACAAGGTTTTGTTTATCGCTTTTTTTTTATTAATATTAAAAAGAAACAAAATTAACAACCAAAAATAAATACTGAATATTCAAAATTACTTATTTATTAAAAAACTAGGGCAAGGGCGGTCTTATCGTTCAAAGCGATTTCTTTCACCCATAAAGAGTATATTATTTAAATTGATTATAATTTTAACTCCATACAATTACATATCTAGTTTAAACTTATAGTGATCTGACTTTATATTATAAACGATATTTGTGTGTTATTTAAAAAACACATGACGTTGACTAAAATTAACAACTTAATAATAGATAAAGAGTTAAGTACTGTGTTGACGCAATAATACAACATAAGCAGTCGGTGTTAGTTTGCATATATGTAAAATAAGTGGCGCGATACATAACCGGTGAAAACTGGTTTTTATTTTTTAAAAACCATTAAAAATCACGTAATGGTCGCCGGTTGGTCACGTACGCTGGTGTTTCTATGTTTGGAAATTTTTCCCGATTGGGGAGTTTTGGGGGAGATTTTTTTTATCTGAAATAATTAAATAAAACACTTTAACTTTAAAACGGCCCGATGTTTAGTTAAACTTATTGAAAATTATTACTTTGCCAGCTGCTTTATAAGCTTGCGGCGACGGGGAGAACTAATATATCGCGTTTTAAACCATTAAAGTGTTTTATTTAAATGTGTACTACTCGCATAAACTTAGACTGTGTTAGATATTTGCAGCGCACTATTTACGTATCTTGACAATACTTGAATTTTAAATTATTTATTTCAGGAAGCCGGACTGGGTAGTATATTTTTAGTTTTGTCAATTAACATAAGTATATCTAGAATATTATTTATTAAAAAAAATATATTGCAATTCATTCTGAGATAAGGTGCTGGCAACACAGATCGAGACGAATGTGCATTTTTGTCTTTTTTAACGCATTATCAGAATTTGGCTATCGCTGTGTCAGTAAACTTTTAGAAATATTTCCAATCCAAATTAAGATGTTGCCAAATGCTGTATAATTTCAAATACCAACTAGCTTAGCCCCGCGGTGTTACTCCACATTTTTTTCGCAAAATCCCCCTTTTTGATTTAAAGAATGGTAGCTTTAAGTTATAAGTAAATCCCATAATTGTAGTAGGTACACAGGGGTGAACAACAAAAAAAAAATATTGTACTTACCAAATATGTTACTATTCCGATTTTAAAAAAGCATTCCCAAATCAAACGCTAACGAGAAATTAGCCACATAAAGATTTGGTTAAATTATTTAAGATGAGACCCAAGAATGGGGTTTAATAGATGGGAGTTCAAAATGAGGTGTCGATCTATTTTTGGTTTTGAACATTCAGTAATCCATAGACTGAAACCAAAACGCCTGATATACTCTTCGCGACTTTGTCACCCTTGTTTTTTAGACAAAGGTCGAACATGTCTTGGAAATATTTTGAATTCCATTTTAGATACATGTCCGACTCCGTTAGCCATATAATGAAAAAAATATGCGAGGTAATGCTAAAAAAATTGTAGTCACGATTATTCAGCGCTATTCGTAGATACGATTTGCAAAATGCAAGTTGTGTTCGGAATATTTTCCTACGTGTTATTAGAACTACGCTTTGGAACCTTGCCTTGGCTGGTGAACTTGACCCACAAGCGGTAACTATATGTGCTCTGTTACTCGCCGTAATGTCAGCTATGATATAAATAAATACACTATAAGTTTGAGAAAATAGGTATACAAGAAACAGTAAGTGATTTTTGTTCTAGAATATCTAATTTACAAAATCGATCAGTACGCTTTTTTCTATTGGAAAATCGATTTGGGCCACACACACAGCATGACTGTCCACTTAACCTCTAAGAGACCCCTTTTATAGAGCACTGCAAAAGGTATCCTGGGGATACAACGACAATTGGTGTTCAAATCTAACCGCCTGTTCTCGGTGTCTTAGAGGGACTGATGGTTCTTTCCTTGCTCCTCCGATGTTCCTTTTTGAGACATCGCAGTTGCATTAAGGACTATTCGCGTACTCTAATATCACTCGCACGATGAAAGGGCGAAGTAGATCACAACCCATCTTGCTAACTAGTATAAATTGTGGTCCACAAACTTGTAACTTGAAAATTGTAATTGCACATATTTGTACGAAGCAATGTGTCAGAGTTTTTTTATCGATTTTTAAAACACATTTAAAACCAGAATGGCAGTAAAACTTCAAAATGATCTAATTGTAAATAAAGGGCATTTATTTTTATACATATAAAAATACATATATAAGATTACTTCCGTACAGTTAAATTATAAGGAAATGATTTATAACATTATGCGTTGTTCTGCACAAAAGGTCTCCACAACCTAGACATTGGCACTACTTAATTCAGTTCGCGTGTTTATCATAATTGCTTACGATTAATCCAGCTGTTATTTGAAAGCTAGTGGCGTCCTTCGGCAGCACATGTTTGGTTCACGTGATTTTACGTGAGTTCTAATTTGTCTATGACAAGTGAAATGCTCGAACGAATGTTTATTCTGTAACTAAAAAAAAAACAGCTTGATCATGGGTTCCCCTCCCCCCCCTGTCTTCATCATTTCA